AATTCCTAAACCAACCCAGCGTTATTCGCCTTCTTTGCACTACTTGTTGCTGACTGACAATGGTGAACCAGAGTGCTATGATGAAGCAATGCAAGTGGAGGATTCAGTCAAGTGGGAGTCTTCCATGAAAGATGAGATGGACTCGCTTATGTCAAATCATACATGGGAATTAGCTGAATTACCACCAGGCAAGAAAGCGATCCACAACAAGTGGATTTACAGGATCAAAGAAGAGCATGATGGGAGCAAACGCTACAAAGCAAGATTGGTTGTCAAAGGTTTTCAGCAAAAAGAATGTATTGACTACAATGAAATTTTCTCTCCAGTCGTAAAACTGTCTACAATCATACTGGTGTTGAAAATTGTAGCTGCAGAGAATTTACATCTTGAGCAGTTAGATGTAAAGATAGCTTTCCTTCATGGTGATTTGCAGGAAGAAATCTATATGAGGCAGCCAGAAGGCTTCATAGAGGCAGACAAGAAAAACTTGGTATGCAGGTTGAAGAAGAGCTTGTATTGTTTAAAACAAGCTCCTAGAAAGTGATACAAGAAGTTCGATAGTTTCATGGGTAGCAATGGTTTTACGAGATACCAAGCAGACCATTGTTGCTACATCAAGAGGTTCGACAATAGCTTTATTATTTTATTGTTGTACGTTGATGACATGCTCGTTGCAGGCTCAGACATGCAAGAGATTATAAACTTGAAACAAAAATTGTTGAAGCAGTTTGCTATGAAGGATCTGGGTGCTGCAAAATAGATTTTTGGGATGAGGATCAAGAGAGACACAAAGTCGGGGACTTTGATATTATCACAGGCTGAGTATATCAACAAAGTATTGATCTCTAGGTTCAACATGCAAGATGCTAAACCAGTAAGTACACCTTTAGGTGTTCATTTTAGACTCTCCAAAGAACAGTCACCAAAGACGGAGGAATAACGTGCACACATGGTGAAGGTGCCGTATGCCTCAGCAATTGGAAGTCTGATGTATGCCATGGTATGTACCAGACCAGATATTGCTCAAGCAGTGGGAGCTGTTAGCAGGTACATGAATAATCCGGGCAAGGTACACTGGGAAGCAGTCAAATGGATCCTCAGATATCTGCAGGGTACCACAAACAAAGCACTTTGTTTCAAAGGTGGAGATACGATACTGACAGGCTATGTAGATGCTAACTTAGCTGGATATATTGACATCAGAAGGAGCACTACAGGGTATATCTATACTCTAGGAGGAACCGCAGTGAGTTGGGTTTCTCAACTACAGAAGATAGTTGCTCTCTCCACAACCGAAGTAGATATGTCGTTGTTACGGAAGCCAGCAAGGAAATGGTTTGGCTCCAAAGTTTCTTGGAAGAGTTAGGCAAGAAACAAGAAAACAATATCTTGTATTGCGACAGTCAAAGTGCTATCCATCTAGCAAAGAATCCGTCTTTTCATTCCAGGACGAAACACATACAATTGAGATATCATTTTATCCGGTCTCTTCTAGAATATGGGATTTTGAAGCTTGAAAAAATTAGTGGAGCTCAAAATCCGGCAGACATGTTGACAAAGACGGTGACTACGGACAAACTGAAGTTGTGTTCAGCTTCAGTTGGCTTGCTAGAATAACAAGACCAGAAATGTTGTTGCATTGATCGAGGTGTGAAGACAGATTAAAATCGGTCTTCAAGTGGGAGATTGTTGAAAATTCAATGCATGAGAGTGGAAATTAAAAGCACATGGGCGACTGTTTTCTAAATCAACAAGTGGGGCGCTAAATAATTTTGGTGCATGGGCTGCTAAATTTTATTATTATTTTGTAATAGGGATAATTATAAAATTGAGTCATTGAACTTTAGGGTATTTATAAGATTAGCCCTTAAGCTTCAACTATAAATACCCTAGCTCATTTAGCTTCAAAATCATCCCAAAATCTCAAATCATTTCTTTCTCCCAATACTAGAGAGTTTCTTGTGAGTAATGAGTGTTTTGTAAACACCTGTAAATTTTCTCTCTTAGTAAAAGATCTGCAGCAGTCCGGAGACATAGGAAAAATTGGCTGAACTCCGTTATCAATTTCGGGTATTATTTTTCCACTTTTATTTCGCATTCTCACTAATCTGGTTATAGAGAAATTGCTCGTACTGGGTTTATTTTCCAACACTCACCCCTAGTTAAAGGGAGTATTATTCTCCCTTGAGGTTCTAGATTCGAGTAGATATGTGTGCATTGTCATTGATTAAAAATATTATAAATAGATATTACCTTTTAATCCCAAAATATTAAAAAATATATATAAATTAAAACATATTCACGCACGTAGAGTTAAAGGAAGAAAGGTATATAAAATTTTATAGCTTAAATAAAAAAAATAAATGTGAGAAACAAATTTAGAAAGGGAAGATACAAAGTCACAAAATGTGTCACCAACCTAAAGAGAAAGCGGTTGAACTTTCATATCAATAACAAGTGAACAACTACCAAATCAAAATAATTTTAAAAAATAACCTTAAAATAGGAAAAATGATATTTTTAATGCGATGTGAAGATCTAAGTTATAAAGATGGACATGTCTAATAAATGATACAATCATAGTTATAAAGGAAAGAGCCCACAAATTAAACATGCTACAATAAAAATAAAAAGAATCTATCCTCTATATATTAAGTAATACATGTTGAATATGAACTTATAATATAATAATAATACTAATACAATACCAAAATTGTTGACATCTTAAAATTAATATAAATAGCATGATAATAACGTATAAGAGTAATTTTTGAACGACTAATATAAGTTTAATTTATTAATAGTGAATTATATGGTGTAGCTTGTATTATTACGTTAAAGTTATCGTTAATTACTTTTTAGTCTTTTAACTGATATTAACGACATAATTTATTATTAATGTATAAATTCATATATTATACTTCAATTATAGAGTGTAATTATATCTCTCTCAATCATGAAAGCATGCTTAGAAGCAAACAAAATGATGCAAGGGAGGATGGTAGGTTCACTCACGCTGTCATTACTGTTTCTGATCCATAACCCCAGTTGCCAAAGTTAAACAAAAACACAACTTAATTTAAGTTTTAAAACGACATAAATGAATACCACTGAAAATATTACGTGAAACACATTTTTAATTGCGAAAGCAAACACATTCTTTTTGTTACAACCTTGTCAATCGAAAATGTTATGAAAAATATAATATTTTAAGTTTAACTGAAAATATTATGAATAAAATAATATTTTAGATTACGTCAAACCAAAAATATTACATTTTTTGATAATATTTTTAGTCCCATCCATTTTTACTATTTTTAACCTTAAATTATTAGGTTATATCGCATGAATACCCATAATTAATACCAATCCTTTGCCATGTTGTTTTCAACAGGAAATATTAACTATATGAAATTACCAAAAGGTCATTTTCTTACAATAAAGAAAATTTGAACAAAAATGCGGGAAGTGGAAAAAGGTGGCCTTCGCTTATTTCTAAAGGGATGTAGGCATTGATTGGGTTTTCATTTTTAATATTTGTTCTTTTTCGTTAGCTTTGATGCTGCAAGTAATTTACATTGTCGTCACATGCTGTATTATTTTTAATACTATTATATTAGATATATTTAGATAATTAAATTAAATTTATCAGTTAATTTGATATTCATGATTTCTTTAAATTAAATATTTGAGCTTTGATTCTAGAGTAAAATACACAAATTATGTTCAGACTATAGTACGATACGTTGTTCAGTCTTCGACTATTAAAAAAATTATAAAATGATATTTTGACTATATGGTGTTACTTTGCTGAGTTTCATAACTATTAAAAGTTATAAAATGATCACCTGACTATTAATATTTTCTAAACTCGTCTTTTTTGGTTAAAAATTGACGATCGTCTGAGTTGAATGTTAACATGTTGATTAGGATGTGATAAATCATTTGAGTTATATTTTATGCATCAACTCTTCGTCTATATTATGTCATCGAGTTAATTCTTGAAAACAACGATGGTGCTAGTGGACATCATTAAAATATGATTTTATCATATCCAAGTCATTAAGTTAAAGTATAGCTTAGATGTCCGTCAATTTTTAATAGAAAAAGACGAGATTGGAACATATGAATAGTTTGGTGACCATTTTGTAATTTTAAATAGTCGATGAACTCAATAAAATAACGATATATAGTCGAGTGGTCATTTTGTAACTTTAAAGAGTTGGAGGACTCAACAAAGAAGCCCCTATAGTCGAGGGACCATTTATATACTTTACCCTTGATTTTATTATACAAATTATCTAATGTATAATTTCGTTAAAAATATTAAGGTTAAAAGATGATTAGACTTAACATTGTAATTGAAATTGGTATCTCAACCAACAATTTTGGATGCACCAAATGAAGCATCTCACCCATCATGCATATCAACATGAAGTAAATAGAGAATTTTGGACAACAAAGGCTACTGCTCCACTCTCTCTTTGACTATTTTATCATAACATATAGCAAGGCACTAGGGAAACACAAATGTACTATATCCACTAATGCATTTGAGTGCACAAACGTAAAGAGGCAGATTCAGAAATTAAAAGGTGGTAATACTCCTTATTTGTTTAATAAATGAGTATATTATTTTTTTCATTCATTTAATATATGAAATTATATTTAATAATTTATCTAAAATAATGGGAACTGAGTACGTCCGCCCTTACAAACACCTAGAATGTTAGTTTTAACTTAGTATTTTATATATTTTTTGATAGATTAATAATTTGTGTTACATAAATCTTATCATTTTTAAAACTTATGTTTGATATCATATTTCAATTAATCTTTAATAATTGTGAGGTGTAAATTATATCATAGAGCGTCTGCTTTAATTTTCTTAGTTTTGTTCGGTATAAGTTTACAGCATACTAGTCATTTACGTTATATTTGTAATAAACTAAAGTTAATAAAAAGTTTTCTGAGAATTACCAACAAGTTGCCCGTCTAGCTCAGTCGGTAGAGCACAAGTCTCTTAACATCCAATCTACCCTCCAGCTGCTCCATGACCTAATCATGGAACATAAAACCATGCTAAGGTCAATCTGCATGTCAACAGCATTAGCAATTAGATCATTAAAATAATAGAAACAAGGGTGTGGCTATATCATATTACAAATAGACATTATGAACAAGGAGAAGCATAGGCTCCGAGGCCAAGTTTTTTTATGCATCATTAAAAGAAACTATAATATACGGTGTATCATAATACCAATTTAGCTAGCACGGATAAGCAACCACATGCTCGAATTGGACAAAGCCTCTCACAGGCATCTTTAAAAGCCTTCTTCCAAAGCTCAACCGAAAAATTCCCCTGCTCTTGATCACTTAATCTGTATCTTCTGGTTGATGTTTTCCTTGAGCTTGAGCTCTTTGCTGCAGCAGACTGCATATGTGGAGTCAAAGTCTGGCAAGTATATAGGAAGAAATAGTGTCAGATATGAACTCAGAAGACGATATGCAGTAAGCTTTTAAAGAGAAGGATTGACCTGCCACCAGACAGACTCGATTATTCTGGAGAAGATCCAAGCTTCGAACTTTTCCAATGCAAGTAAAAATGTATGAGGGTCCACCCAGTCATTACAACTTTCTGTTGAATCACTTTCCTCTTGCGGAGGAGAGGTGCCCTCAAACACCATTTCCCCAATAGCATGGCTAACAATTGTTCTCAATACAATTGAATTTGAAAACCAGAATGTTAAATTATAAATAACGGAGAATGATCAAATGGCGCAAATCCACAGAGAGAAGTATTTCAATAAATGAAAGAGGAAAATTGCAAGGAAACAAAGATGCAAGTAGGTACGAGAACATAGATACATTTTATTTTCTAAAACATGAAAAACAAAGTGCAAACTAACATATTTGATGATAGAAAAGATAGAAGCTAAAACCTGCCAGTTTCATTTTTTAAACTTAAAAATAAATAAATAAATTACAGAAAGTTTTAGAATGCACCTTGAAACATCATTTCCGCATGCTTTAGAGACCAAAACCAATCCTGAAACAGCAGCCCTTGCCCTCTTTCCTGGGTTATACCTGTTCTGCAAGCATGAATATAGAATCTAGAAAGTCGTCTAGCTGGAGCATGAACCTTGTTCGTAGAACCCCCATGCTCTGCAATTACAGAATAAAGACTAGCCTCAACAACAGCAGCTTCTCTCAATTCTTCTTCAAGCATTTCAATTTTGGACTCCAATTCAACTTTGCCGAGGGAAAAGCTATTTGCGTTTTCTTCACTTTCATTACATGTGTCATTAGTAGAACCGTTATGAATCTTTTCAGGAATATCAGGTTCCTTTGCCTTCTCCATGAACTGAGTATTTGCTGTTACTTCCCTTTCACTATGCATATCACTTGTGTTGTCATTTTGGAATATCCTCGGGAATACCATTTTCTTTTGCCTTCTCCACTTACTGAATTTTCGTTGTCACTCCATTACGCTTAGCTTTGTCAAAATGCGACTGAAGAGGTGCCGCATGCTTTTGTCTATCATTTGCAATGAAACCACCTTTGACTTCAGTTGTTTCCAAGAAGGATGCAAAAGTATTACTTCTCGAAGTAATTTTCTTTCCGGTAGAATCTTGTGATGGTATAAAACCTAATCTGTTTTGCAGAGAATATTCATCAGCATTCAAAATCTGACTATCCAGCTCGTCTCCCCACAGTGTTTTCTCCTTGTTTCCCTTCCAAGGACCAACATATGACATGCTACTTAAAGATCGGTCTACATGACTTTGATCATGCCTCCATGCTTTTCTATCGCCATCTCTTTTGGTATGGGAGTCTTTAACTTTTACATGGTCTAAGTTCATATCTACTGGAATGGTAAAACTCGCCTCTGAGGATGTGACTTTAGCCATAGGATAAGCTAATGAAGGGTTCAAGGACAAATATTTATCTTTTACATGGTATAAGCTTGTATCAACTGGAATGGAAACACCCGTCTCTGAAGGTGCAAATTCAGCTGGATAAGTTACATGATTCTTGAGGTTGGAGGCCAGATCTGTTTCTTTTACATTGTCTAAGTTCATATCAACTGGAATAGTAACACTTGTCTCTGAAGATGCAACTTTAGCCGGATAAGTTAGAGGATTCTTGGGGTTGGAAGACAAATCTTTATCTTTTACGTGGTCTAAGCTCTTATCTACTGAAATGGTAACACTTGTTTCTAAAGATGCAACTTCAGCAGGATAAGTTACAGGATTCTCGGGGTTGGAGGACAAATCTGTATCTTTTACATGGTCTAAGTTCGTATATATTGGAATGGTAAGACTCGTCTCCAAGGATGCAACTTTAGCCATGGGACTAGTTACAGGATTCTTGGGGTCAGAGGGCAAGTCTATTGAAGATGAAGTATTAGTCTTCCTATTTACATGTTTGAATGCATCAACGGTTGGACTCATCCCTGAGTTTGCGCTTGTTCCACCAAAGGGAAGAATGAACCCAAGGCTTTCAATCCCACCTGTGGCTGATTCTGATCCATTCTGTAATCAATAGTGTCACGCAATTAAACATTTGAAATACTAGCTTTGCTAAGACTGCATTGATAGCAACCAAATTAACTAGAACTACAACAGACCTCCTAGGATAGAATCATGCTGGAAGTGATAGATAAGAAAATGTCATCTGGTGCATGCCCCAAACTAATAGCTATGCTTGTGTAATGGTTAAAGAGGGATCGTATTATTCGTATCTACAAATTAATGACTGTAAATATAAGATTAGCTCAGTTGATTTCGCTCCTAGCAAGTTTCAGGCCAAGGCATGGCATAATCGCCAGCCATGCCTTACCTTAGAAAAGTTCCCAAGTTGAAATCCCATTCCAATTAACAATAGCATTTGCAATGCCTAAAGATCAGAGTCTGCTAAGCCAAATTTTACAAATCTAATCCAATCATAGACCCAAATTCAAAGACAACAACAGTTAAGGGACAATTCAATGAAAATGGAAACAAAGAACAAAAGCAGAATGTTGAACTTAAGTACCACATCATGTTGAATATGTGACTCTCTAGAATGATCAAAAACAGATGAAATAGTCTGGGATGACCGTGAGGAAAGATCATCATCATCTTCATCCGTAAAATAAGCAATCTCGGTTTCCTTGTCATGTCCTTCATTTATGGATTCAGAAACAGATTCACTGCCATCCTTGTCTAGTGACACTTCTTTAGACAAGCCGCATTTGGTCGATGAACTCGGGCTATCTTTATCGAATGGCTGGATGTTAAGATAAAGAACCGGCTGGTCAATGTTCCTAGAACTCCTCTTCAAGTTAAAAGGAATGTTAATGGACGTTGTTTCCTTGATAATACCATAATCAGCAAGGCTTTCGATTGCAGATCCCAAAAGTTGACCTTTCGACACCTTATCTTTCCTAGGCTCGTACAAGTGAAACTCTAAACAGTTCTTAATGAAACTCTCACGATTCGTACTCTTACGGGTTGCTTCTAAAGTTAATGCAAGTTTGAAAGTGTTGAAAAAATAAAAGTCATACTTTGCTGCAAATTTGATTTTCAAATTTGGCAACTCCAATGTGCGTGAATTCGGTGGCAGCACATTTTTGTTGATTGTTTGTATGGTAAAATTGCTAAAATTAGTCATTGTACTTTAGGGTATTTACAAGATTAGTCCTTAAGCTTCAACTATAAATACCCTAGCTCATTTAGTTTCAAAACCATCCCAAAACATTCTAGCTTTCTTCCAATACTAGAGAGAATTTAGAGAGTTTCTTGAGAGTTGTTTTCTCCTTTTTATCAAGAGAGAATTATCATTCTTTTCTCCTTGGTAGATCGAGGGAAATTGTAATTCCTATTTTCTCATAGTAAAATTCTTCTATCGTTGCCCGTGGTTTTTACCCTATATTATTTAGGGGTTTTCCACGTAAATTTTGTGTCTTTTTTATCTTCATTTTTATTTTCTCAAATTATTAGTTGCGATTTTGCTCTATCCGATAGTCGTCTTCCGCAACAATTGGTATCCAAACTAGATTTGAGTGTGTAACATCTGCTTATTGTCTTTGTGGTTGCCACCAAAAGGTGGATCCTCCAACATAAGAAAGTAAGAAGTTATTACCCATTCTTTCAAGGTTCCAGAGAACTATTCACGATAGTGAAATAGTGGGAGCTATCCGTAATATAAGCTATGGCAACGAAATTTGATATTGAAAAATTCAATGGGAGAAATTTTTCATTGTGGAAATTGAAGATAAAGGCCATCCTGAGGAAAGACGGTTGTCTAGCAGCTATCAGTGAAATGCCGGTGGATTTCAAAGATGACAACAAATGGATCGAAATGGACGAGAATGCTATGACAAACTTTCATCTAGCATTAGCAGATGAAGTATTGTCAAGCATCGAGGAGAAGAAGACAACTAAGGAGATATGGGATAATCTCACCAAATTGTACAAGGCCACATCACTGCACAATAAAATTTTCCTTAACAGGAAATTGTATACTCTCCGTATGTCAGAATCTACTTCAGTGACAGAGCACTTAAACACACTGAACACGTTATTTTCTCAGCTTATATCCTTAAGATGTACAATAGAAGAACAAGAACGTGCTTAACTTCTACTTCAAACTCTACCTAATTCGTATGATCAACTCATCATCAACTTGACAAACAGTAATGTCACCAGTCTAGTCTTCGATGACGTTGCAGCTGCTGTTCTCCAAGAAGAAAATCGGTGCAAGAATAAGGAAGACAGACAAGTAAATTTGCAACAAGCAGAAGCATTGACAACGATGAGAATGAGATCAACAGAATGTGGCCAAAGTAGCAGTCACAAACATGGTAGATCGAAGTCGAGAAGCAAGAAGAATTTAAAATGCTACAACTGTGGAAAGAAGGGTCACTTGAAGAAGGATTGTTGGAGTCTAAATAAAAACTCCAATCCAATAGACAATACCGCAAACACTTCAGATGATGGAGATGCTCTATGCTGTGAAGCGTCAACTACCGTGGAAGGCAGAAAGAGATATGCAAATATATGGCTCATTGATTTGGGAGCAACATATCACATGACCTCAAGAAGAGAATGGTTCCATCATTATGAACCTGTCTCAGGAGGACCTGTATATAGTTACAATGATCATGCTTTAGAGATCATTGGCGTGGGAACTATCAAATTGAAGATGTATGATGGAACAATTAAAGTTGTTCGAGATGTGCGGCACGTGAAAGGCCTGAAGAAAAAAATTTTATCCTACGGATTGTTGGATAATAATGCAAGCAAGATTGAAACACATAAAAGAATTATGAAGGTGTTCCGTGGAGCGCTTGTGGTGCTGAAAGGCGAAAAGATAACTGCAAACTTGTACATGCTGAATGGAGAAACTTTGCTAGAAGAAGAAGCCTTTGATGCCTCATGTAGTTCAGATTCTGCAATGCTATGGCATCAGAAACTTGGACACATGTCAGAACAAGGAATGAAAGTCCTTGTGGAGCAAAAGCTACTTCTAGGCTTAACAAATGTATCACTTACTTTGTATGAGCATTGCATAACAAGTAAGCAACACCGGTTGAAATTCAACACGTCAAATTCTAGAGGGAAAAGTGTTCTAGAATTGGTTCATTCTAACGTATGGCAAGCACCAGTTACATCCCTATACTTTGTCTCATTTATTGATGACTACTCCAGGAGATGTTGGGTGTACCCTATTAAGAAGAAGTCAGATGTGTTTTCAACTTTCAAAAACTTCAAAGCACGTGTGGAACTTGATTCTGGAAATAAGATCAAGTGTTTCAGAACAGATAATGGAGGAGAATACACAAACGAAGAATTTGATGACTTTTGTAGGAAAGAATGCATTAAAAGACAGTTCACAGTGGCAAACACTCCTCAACAAAATGTAGTGGCAGAGTGGATGAACAGAACCTTGTTAGAAAGAACAAGAGCAATGTTGAGGGATGCAGGCCTAGAAAATTCATTCTGGGCAGAAGCAGTCAATACCGCCTATTATTTGGTGAATCGAGCTCCATCAACTGCAATAGAGATGAAGACACCAATGGAGATGTAGACTGATAAACCAGCTGATTATTCAAACCTCCATGTATTTGGAAGTATTGTGTACGTGATGTACAACTCCCAAGAAATTTCAAAGCTAGATCCAAAATCCAAGAAATGCAAATTCTTGGGGTATACTGATGGTGTAAAGGGGTATCGCTTGTGGGATCTCATTGCCCGCAAAGTGATCATTAGTAGGGATGTTATCTTTATAGAGGATAAACTACAAAGAAAAGAAGACGATGATAGCGCTGAAAAGTCAGAGACTACACATATACATGTGGAAAAAGAGGTTGAACAAGGAGATTCTTCTGAAGCAGAACCGACACATGATGAACAAGAACCAGAGAGTTCTGAAGCTCCAACAACTTGTCAATCAGATCGTATGAGAAGACGTCCCAATTGGTACTTAGATTATGTTATAGAATGAAATATTGCATACTGCCTTTTAACAGAGGACGGTGAGCCATCAACATACGAGGAGGCAATAAACAGCTCAGATGCTTCACTGTGGAAGATGGCGATGCAAGAAGAAATTGAAGCACTTCATAAAAATAATACATGAGACCTTGTGCCACTACCACAAGGAAGGAAGCCAATTGGTAACAAATGGGTCTTCAAAATCAAGAGAAATGATGACGATCAAGTGGAGAGGTATCGTGCAAGATTGGTGGTCAAAGGATATGCTCAAAAAGAAGGTATTGATTTCAATGAAATATTTTCTCCTGTGGTTCGACTAACAACAGTTCGAGTAGTTTTGGCAATGTGTGCTACATTGAACTTACATCTAGAGCAGCTAGATGTTAAAACAACTTTTCTTCATGGAAATCTTGAAGAAGAGATTTACATGCTCCAGCCTGAAGGTTTTGAAGAAAAAGAAAAGATGAACTTGGTTTGCAGGTTGAACAAATCTTTGTACGGTCTAAAGCAGGCGCCGAGGTGTTGGTATAAGAGATTTGATTCCTTCATTATGTGCCTTGGATACAACAGACTTAATGCAGACCCTTGTGCTTATTTCAAGAGGTCTGGTGATAACGATTTTGTTATATTGCTATTGTATGTGGATGACATGTTGGTTGCAGGACCCAACAAAGATCATATTGAAGAATTGAAGGCACAAATGGCTAGGGAATTTTAAATGAAGGACTTGAGATCATCAAACAAGATTCTAGGGATGCAAATTCACCGAGACATAAGTAATAGGAAGATTTGGCTTTCGCAAAAGAATTACTTGAAGAGGATCTTGTCATGATTCAGCATGCAACATTGTAAGCCAATTTCTACCCCTATTCCTATTAACTTCAAATTATCCTCCAGTATGAGTCCTAGCAGTGAAGAATAGATGATGGAGATGTTTCGAGTATCGTATGCATCAGCAGTGTGTAGTTTAATGTTCGCTATGATATGCACAAGACCAGACATTGTACAAGCAGTGGGAGTGGTTAGTCGGTACATGGCGAATCCATGCAAAGAGAATTGGAATACAGTAAAGAGGATCCTAATATACATCAAAGGGACCTTAAATATTGCATTATGTTATGGAGGATCAAATTTACTAATCAATGGGTATGTAGATTCTGACTATGCAGGGGATTTGGATAAAAGCAAATCTACTACAGGGTATATGTTCAAAGTTGTTGGTGGAGCTGTAAGTTGGGTTTCAAAATTGCAGTTAGTTGTGGCTATATCCACAATAGAGGCAGAATATGTAGTAGCTACACAAGCCAGTAAAGAAGCAATTTGGTTGAAGATGTTATTGGAGGCGCTTGGGCACAATCAAGAGTATGTCTCTCTGTTTTGTGACAGTCAAAGCGTCTTGCATTTAGCAAGGAATCCAACATTTCATTCAAGGAAAAAGCACATACGAGTTCAGTACCATTTAATTCGTGAAAAGGTGGAAGAAGGAACTGTAGATATGCAGAAGATCCATACCAAAGACAACATAGCAGATTTCATGACAAAGGCAATCAATGCTGATAAATTTACCTGGTGTAGATCCTCTTGTGGCTTGTCAGAGACATAAGCAACATGAAGGTACAAGGTAGAAAAAATGGTGTGAATATATGATTGTTCAAATCAAATCTCAATCATATCTTCAAGTGGGAGATTGTTGAAAAAATAAGTCATACTTTGCTGCAAATTTGATTTTCAAATTTGATAGCTCCAATGTGCGTGAATTCGGTGGCAACACATTTTTGTTGTTTTTTTGTATGGTAAAATTGCTAAAATTAGTCATTGTACTTTAGGGTATTTACAATATTAGTCCTTAAGCTTCAACTATAAATACCCTAGCTCATTTAGCTTCAAAACCATCCTAAAGCATTCTAGCTTTCTTCCAATACTAGAGAGAATTTATAGAGTTTCTTGAGAGTTGTTTTCTCCTTTTTATCAAGAGAGAATTATCATTGTTTTCTCCTTGGTAGATCGAGAGAAGTTGTACTTCCTATTTTCTCATAGTAAAATTCTTCTACCGTTGCCCGTGGTTTTTACCCTATATTATTTAGGGGTTTTCCACGTAAATTTTGTGTCTCTTTTATCTTCATTTTTATTTTCTCAAATTATTAGTTGCGATTTTGCTCTATCCGATAGCCGTATTCCGCAACAGAAAGATTCATCAAACTCGATCTTTCCATTATCAATGGTAGAAGATAAGACCCCGGAGCTCTGATCACCATTTTCCCATTGAAGCAAAACATATTGAGCTGATCGCAGTGTAAGCAAGCTGATGAAAGCTACATTTTCTGCTCTTAGTTCTTAGGCCAAGAGCCATTGTTGGAACTTCAAAGAAACACAAATTTCAATCTTGATTGATATGATTTGTAGAAAGAAAAAAATAGATTAACAATGTTTCTTCAGCAAACGAAAACAATTAATGTACATAAAAAATGAAGAGAATCTCCATCTGCAAACAGATAGTGGAAAGAAAATATTTTAAAATCGGAGGAAAAAAAACAAGTTAACGACCGACACTTGATGCTCAAACAAAAGAAATTGTAAGTGAAGTACAACATTGAACCCTTTTATTTTATAAAAATACGTTTAAAATATTATGTCAGTAGCAATCAAACAAAGATAGCAATGAATCTATGAAACAGGGAGAGGAAAGAGAAGCAACCCATTTCATGCAAACATCATTAAACTCAGGACTATAAATAAGATAGATAATAAGACAAGCAATTCATGCAAACATCATTGAACTCTGGGTAAATAAAGTTGTAGACAGAATATTGGATATTCCCAGGGAAAAAATCATATTCTAAATTCGCCCTTTTTTATTATAATAAAATCTGATCTTATAACTGTTTAAGTTATATTTTGTGGATCGGTTCTTGGTTTACATTATGTCGTCGAACTAGTATTTAAAATATTATATTGTCAAGCCAGTGCTTGAAAGTAATAATTTTTTTTGGATAAGTAAAAATTTTATTATCCAAATAAGAGAAAGTACATAACAATTCAATCAAGGATCAGAGACTAGCTAATTACAATAAAATAATGATTATCCTATACCCCAATTGGTACAATGTTGCATATTAACAAAATCAAGCCTATTAAGTTCTATATTCCTAAGTTGAGAACCAACAATCTCTTTAATAGAAATGAGCAGCTCGTCCATAGTTCTAGCTCTACCTTGGAATAGAAGTCTATTTCTTTCTTCCCAAACAAGATAGATGAATGAGCTCCAAGCAATCTTCAAAATAGAGGAAAGAAGAGATTTACCTTTCCAACAAGAAATAGCCCAAGCAAGCTTGATATCCCAAGTCATATGAGGCTTGGTTAAGAGAGAAAGATGCATAATTCTATTCCAAAGAGAATCAACTATAGCACAATCAACAAATAAATGATTTCTTGTTTCAAGTCCCTCATTGTATAAGGTACAAGAACCTTCAGTGGTTATCCCCATTCGAATAAGTCTTTCCCGAGTGGGAAGCCGATCAAGAATTGCCATCCAAGTGATGATACTGAATTTTGGAACATGGAGGGGAAACCAGATAAGTTTATGCGAAGGAACTTTTTCCTTTTTGGTACGAATCTCATCCCAAATATCTTTGCTTTTAGAAGCTCATGCATTGAGAATAGGGATGGCCTCAACTTTCATTTTTAACAGCCTGTTAAAGCAGTTGTTGTGAGAAGCATTGGTAGGCAGCTGAAATAAATCCTTTGATTTAATAACATAACTATAAATCCAAGCAATCCATAAGGATCCTTCACCAGCAAGAAGGTTACGGATAAGTTGAATTATGCAGACTTTATTCCAAGTTTTTAAATCTTTTAGTCCCAGCCCACCTTCAGATTTGGGACAGTAAATATTGCCCCAGCTTACTCTTACACCATTGGCAGCAGAGTCAGTACCTTTCCATAAGAATCTAGAACATAGTTGGTTAATCTTGTTGATAATAGCTTGAGGAAGCAAAAATTGTCTGCACCAGAAATAAGCTATACTTTGGAGGACATTTTTGACAAGTTCAAGTCTTCCTGCATAACTAAGATGTTTTCCAGACCATTGGTGAATTCTTAATATGATTTTATCAATAAGAGGAGTACAATATTTATCAGTGAGTTTCCTTGTGACAAGTGGAACCCCAAGGTATCTCACTGGAAGAAGACCATTTTTGAATCCAGTAGAATTAATAATGATATGAAGGTTCCTTGGGGAAATTCCAGTAGCAAAAAGATCAGATTTGACTGCATTAAGTTAAAGTCCTAACATTTCATAGAATTTGTTAAGGACAGAGGTAACTCCAATGACAGATTCTAATTTTCCTTTACAGAAAATGAGGAGGTCATCCGCAAAAGTTAAATGAGTGAGTCCAAGTTTTTTGCATTTTGGATGGTATCCAAATAAACCTCTGGCAGCATCAGTGTTAAGGATTTTAGAAAGGATGTTCATAGCTAGAACAAAGAGGATAGGTGATAGGGGATCACCTTATCTTAGGCCTCTTTCACCTTTGAAATAACCTATCAAAGAACCATTAAGAGAGATAGAGTATTTAGCTTGAGTGAAGCAGACTTTAATCCAAGCAGAGAATTTAGAAGGCAGATTTATGGCTTCAAGAATAGAAGAGATGAACCCCAATAAATGGAATCAAAAGCTTTTTGGAGATCAATTTTGATGACACATCTTGGAGAAATTTTTTTCTTCCATAACCTTTGACAAGTTCTTGAGCAAGAAGAGTGTTGTCAATGATATTTCTACCTTTGACAAAGGCAGTTTTATTAAGAGTAATGATTCCAGGCAGAATAGTGGTCAATCTTTTAACCAAAATCTTGGTAATTGATTTATAAATCACAGTACAGCAAGAGATTGGTCTATAATCTTTATAAATCATTAAAATATGATTTTATCAAATCTCAATTATCAAGTTAACGTCAAACTCTGACGGTTGCCAACTTTGTAACAGAAAAAAATGAGTTTAGAATATATAAATAGTCAGGGTGGCCATTTTGTAACTTTTAATAGTCGGGGGACTCAACAAAATAACGTCATATAATTGTGAAGATAATTTTATAACTTTTAATAGTCAAATGACTCAACAAAGTAGTGTCTTAAAGTGGGGAGACCATTTGTGTACTTTACTCTTATTTTTTATGAGTTCACATAAGGCATAATATTAAAAATATACCCAAATGTTTATCAAAATAGTCATTTTGAACCATATTTCTTTTTCTTTTTTGAGTATATTGGCATGGTCGTTTCTTTTTGGGGGTAAAAAGACTCCGGGTGAAAATTAATAGTTAACAAACGATTAACACTATAATAATATAGTTTGTAATCCTAAAAAGAAATATTCATGGGCTAAAATGCTCCAAAATAAAATAATAAAGATTAAAGTGACTATTTGGTCAAATGTTAATACTTTCTTACCTTAAAATAAAACATTAGAGCCAAAATACTTTTAAAAAAAAGAAAAGAAAAAAAAAAGAATAAAGGTCAAATAACAATTTTAATACACATTGGAGGATTAATTTTAATATTATGCCTGCACATAAATACTTTCTTATATATTTTTTATATTTAAAGAGTAGTATTTATATTTAGATTTACACATATTAAATACAATAATAAACTTACTTTTAAAATAAAAAAGGATTTGGGTGACATTAGTAATTATTATACTTATGGCATGGGGTATATTACTCCAATTTGGATTGATACAAAAATTTGTGTTAGAAAATTAGGGGTCGTGAAAATAAGCGTGTTTCTCGATACACCACATTAGGAAAAACCTAACAACAACGAGCCATCTCAATAAGCAGCAAATAATTCTCTAAACCTTTTTTTTAATAATAAACAAAACTTTATTTGACGATCCAATTGTATCTATTTTCTCATTTCCATATTTAAGATTTATTCTAAAATTATTAACATTTAATCAGAATACATCATGTGTGCAGTTTTATAATTCTTTTTTTTAGAAATAATTATTACATTTTTATTAAATTTGAGGTAGGAAAGAATATATATAAAGAGTAGAAGAAGTTATTGTATTTTCTAAATTTTTTGATCTAATAGTATTTTAATTATTTATCAATTTAAATTTGTGTAAAATTTGTCTTTTGTTCTCTCTAATTTTTAGATCAAATACATAATAAGCTTTTATTACTTTAAACTTAATTATCATTTCTCTGTCAATGTTGATCCTAATTCTATCAATGATTGAATCGTTTCTTTCCTTAAATATTAACATCTATTTAAATTATTGAAATTTTTTATTATAGATTATAAAATATTTTATTTAAATATCATAATTAAATTAATTAAAAGAAACTATTTTTATAAAAACCATTCAATAAAATTCGGATATACTTTAAAAAAAAATGTGAAGATTGATTATTAGATTATATGGAACAAAAAAAATAAAGAGGACTGCTCCTTTCTGGCTGATAATAAATAAAAATAATTGAATAAGACGACATCTTTTGTTTGATTTATTACTCTCAACATCACACCATTAAACCAATTCACCACCCAATTTTAACCTTCTTTTACATATTTTTGTTAGTTTCATTACATTTTTTTAATTAATAAAAGGAGTTAATTACAACATACATCCTCAAACTATAACTCTTATTCTAAATTAATACCTAAATTTTTTAACATTTCAATTTCATCCTTAAACTACAACTCTTATCCTAAATTTCTGAAAATAAATTTAAAAAAATGAATAGAGATACCATTAACTATGTCCATCAAAAGTAGAGATGTAAATGAGTTGAATTGAGTTCAAGTATTACTAAGCTTAACTTGACTAAAAAACTCGTGAGTTTAATTGTAAAACTTGAACTGAAAATAAAAAAATTAAGCTCGACTTGACTCAAAAGCTTGTGAGTTTAAAATCTTCAAGTTCTATTCAAAATAAAAAAATTGAAGCTCGACTCGATCTTAAACCCGAACCTTAAATACATGAAAGTCTTATATTGTATTTTTTTTAAATAACATATGGATGTTAATATTATTAAAAATTAAATTTAAAATTTTTAATATATTATTTTTTTTAGTTGAGTATCAAATAATTCATTTTGACTCGTAAAGAATTCGAGTCGAATCTATTCGATCCAAGTGTTGACCGTGCTTTAACAGAATTGATCTCGAATAACTCGTGATTTGCCTTGTCTCATTTATAGCCCTAATCAAAAGGGGAAAAAAGTTGTGGATGCTATGAGAAACAAAATAAGATATTAGAGACGTTAATTATTTTCTAATAACGGTGAATTGTTGTTAACACAACAGCTTAGGAGAAAAACAAATAAAACACAACCCGACCACCCTATGCCTGAGCCAGCATTGCTCCACGTTTTGGGTACTTCAATTTTATTCCATAATAGTCACTTGCAACATAGAATTCCCTACATTGCATGAAACTTGTCAAAAAAAACTTGAGATGGTATCTTAACAATTGCAGTGGAACTGATTTATATGCTGTAAGAGTATGCAAAGAACAAGACTACAGTTGATAACTCGTTATATATACTACCCTACTCACATTCACGGCTTTAAAAGTGGGAACCAAATGTTATGCATTTTAGACTGAGAATGCACAGTCTATATGCCATTTTCCAGTAGAAAATGAACTAAACTTGATTTGAAATACAATTAAATGTAATTTGTCTCTCTCCTCTCTTATTAACTTCTCTCTTTTTTTACCATTTCTAACATGACAAATAACAAAGAACATATGTAAGATTATTTTGATCATTTCTAACATGACCAGGCAACTGTTGGTCGGCTTGCCTCTGCTAGATGATATGAAGGGAAAACTAAAATGAACTCCTTGAGAACAGTAAAAGATACAAGCCAATTCTCAACCATTCATGTGTGTAGCAGGATACAGTGTTGTGAAAGCAAGCATAACGTGGATGTTAGACCATGAAGGTGGCCAATGGATTTACATAATTCCATAGAAACCAACATTCACATAACAAAACGGAATTTGATAATTGTAAATGCCAAATCATGCAAGTTAGAGTACATATTTTGGAAGGAAGAAGTGCACCGACAAATTAAAAGTCAAAAAGATGCCAGAAGCAACCTGAGCAGAAACTAAGCAGAAGCCTCCAGCAACTCCCTTTCTGCACGCTCTCTAATCCTTCTCTCGAGCTCAGGCCTAAAGTGACGTATAAGACCCTGCACAGGCCAAGCTGCTGCATCACCCAAAGCACAAATTGTGTGCCCTTCAATCTGCTTAGTCACTTCCTGAAGCATGTCAATCTCTTCCAATTTTGCATTCCCGACTTTCATTCTTTCCATGATCAGCCATAGCCATCCAGTCCCTTCCCTGCAGGGTGTGCATTGTCCACAACTCTCGTGCTTATAGAAGTAAGAAAGCCTTGCGATAGCATCTACAACATCAGTTGATTTATCCATCACAATTACTGCAGCAGTTCCCAGTCCTGACTGGACAGCCTTGAGTGCATCGTAATCCATTAGGACATCATCACATATGTGTTTAGGTAAAAGTGGAACAGACGAACCTCCTGGTATTACTGCAAGTAAATTGTCCCATCCACCTCTGACACCTCCACAGTGCCTCTCTATCAACTCCTTAAGTGGTATACTCATCTCTTCCTCAACTGTGCAAGGCTTGTTGACATGACCTGAGACACAAAACAATTTTGTCCCAGAATTATTCTTCCTCCCAAAACTGGCAAACCACTCAGGACCACGTCTCAATATTGTGGGAGAAACAGCCACCGTCTCCACATTTGTGACAGTGGTTGGACAGCCATATAATCCTGCATTAGCAGGGAAAGGAGGCTTCAATCTTGGTTTCCCTTGTTTTCCTTCAAGGCTCTCCAGAAGTGCTGTTTCTTCACCACAAATATAAGCACCAGCACCATAATGTATATGAACATCAAAATCATAACCAGAACCACATGCATTTTTGCCCAACAGTCCAGCTTGGTAAGCTTCTTTTCTAGCTTTTTCAAGGTTCTTACGTTCATTCACATATTCACCCCTGATGTAGATATAAGCAGCTGAAGCTCTCATCCCAACTCCAGCAATCAGGCAGCCCTCCAATAGCTTGTGTGGATCGTGGCGCATGATTTCCCTGTCTTTACAGGTTCCAGGTTCACTTTCATCAGCATTAACAACAAGATAAGAAGGGCGGCCATCAGATACTTTCGGCATAAAAGACCATTTGAGGCCCGATGGAAATCCAGCACCACCACGTCCTCGGAGTCCAGATTTCTTCATTTCATTGACAATCCAATCAGCACCCTTGAGTACTAAATCCTTGGTTCTATGCCAGTCACCACGTTTCATGGCACCTCTGAGAAATGGGTCATGCAACCCATATAAGTTGGTGAAAATACGGTCTTCGTCTTTTAGACCACCAAAATGGGTTTTCTCAGGTGGTGGAGGAGGAGGGGGTGGCTGTGGAGCACCAGCAGTTGTGGCTCCTTGAGTACTAAATGATCTAGTGCCTAGTTTCCCCCTCTCACTGCCAGCTCTGAACAACGCAGCCCTTTGCAAGGAAAGAATGCCCTTAATGGGTGCCTATGCAAAGAAAGAACAACCATTATTAACCTCTTTATCCTTTTTGGTTAAAAGCTTACTTCTGCCAAAGACTTTGGGACATTACTAATCAAAGTTCTTAGCTTTCCATGAAAAGACGTAAGAAACATGTTACAATGAAGCAACTGACATCATAATAGCCTATCAAACAGTCCTAGGGGAGCACTGAAGAACAGCTGGATGCCAATACTACACTCAGTGCAGCCAGTGGCAACCAAAATAAAGGGAAGAAAATAACAAAGGCCCATCAGCTTCGATAATGCAAATTAATCAATCAATCGAAACTTAAGTCTGATTTCTCTCTGTATTTAAATAAACCATTTTACCGAGAATTAATGTAGAAACTACTTCCTTGACAACAAAATATGAGCCACGTCCAATTTTGAACCAATTAAAAAAATCCTTAATTCCTCGATATTGCCTCAACTTCCTTCTACTGAGATATTCAAATGAAGAATCAGAACTCAAATCTACACCAATTAAAATTAATTTCATAGCCCTAAAGCAACAATCCAGCTTCAGTACCCTCAGTTTCTAGCAAATCAAAACTAGAAGTTCCCCTTCTGCGCGCTCATTTTCCACTAGCTTAACCGCATCCAAACAGAATATAAAGAAGAAACAAAAAAAAAATCAAAAATCAATAGACTGGATCCATATAACTAACGAGAAACAAACAACATTTCACGATCAAACAATTAGATGAATCGTCTAGAAAACCAGCACGAGTGAAAAACGAAAAGATATGGGTTTGGATATTAGGTGTTCCATAGCGTGAAATGTCGCCGATGATCCTTGATGCTTAGCGATTCGCCTCGACTGAAAATGTCAGAAACAATAGCGAAGGTAAATATGATAATTTGAAGATGGGGAATGATTGGCTACGGAGTGTAGGAATAAAGACCGGTGATGGAAGATCAAAATCGTTGATATATTCGGGGTGGTAAGTGATCTGACGGTCGATGTTCCTTGGAGAGTTTGTTATGGTTTTCGGTGATACGTTGCGATGGCGTGGATGTTGTTCGAGCCCCACCGTCCAAGTCTACCGTTAGGATCGGATTTTTATAATTTTTTTGGCTATTTTGTAATATTAAAAGAAATAATTGAAAACATTTAAACATGACATTAATAGCTTCACATACAAATATCTTCTTATTATGATAAAATTTAATATTATAAAAAGAATTATTAAATTTATATGATTTTAATTATTAAAGTTGTAAAATTTGGTTGGCTTGTGATTTTCATTAATAATTCTTTAATAATTAAAATATGAATATATATTTTAATAATCATTAAAGTTATAAAAGCAAACATCAATATGAGTCGGTTCAAGTAGTAAGCAACTTGATATTGTTTAAGCAAGGTCTTGAGTTCGAGTGTAAAATATCTCTATTAGGAGACTCATCAACCAAAATCAAGTATATAATGCAAGTCGGTTCAGATTAATCAAGATGAAATCTCGTATTAAATTCCATTATTTAAATTAATTTATTTGATTTGATATCTTATATAGACCTAAATATGATATTCTAAACTGATCCGAAACTTGAAAGAAAAATAATAAACTGAATCAAAATTGATCTAATTTTAGTTAGAATGATATAAACTCGTACCTAATTTAACTTGAACTAAAAGTACCGAACATGTTAAATTTGCAAGAAGAGGCCTCAAACTCTTTAGCCGATTTTTGGTTGGCGGAAAAAATATTATCAAGTGAAATAATTTTTTTTCGGAATCACATATTTACATTTGGTTCGCGGAAAAGATCATTATCATGTAGTAACTTATTATCAATAGTAACAATTTTTGGTTAAAATGGTGAAAACGTCATTACCTCCAAATTCTTAGATAATGAACAATTCTATTTTTTACAAAAATACATCTAGAATAATAAATTCTTTTCATAGTGATCATTCTCGATTTTTATTCTTCGTACTTTATTCAAAATTATAAACATAATAATAATATACAAAGAGTTTAATTTAGTAAAATATTAATAAATTCAAGTAGCTAAAATTATTCTATAATTTTAATATTTAATATATTAATTGTTTTATAATTTTATGAGGTGACAAATGATATTATTGTAAAAATGATATTATTTAAAATAAATTTTAATTTATTAAAAATGAATTTTATACATTGAAAAATAATATCTTTGTCTACTCGAGATCATCATATTATTTTTTATATTATATTATATTTTATATAAATAAATATGATACTTATGAAAAATTATTTGAAAAATATAAGTTTGATATACTAATTATATTAATTATATATTAAATATATTTTTTTGTTAAAAGTTAAATGTAACAGTTAAAATATTTTTATAAATTTTTATTCATATATTTATAATTTAATATTAAAGTTTAACTCGTTGAAAAATACATATATCACAAAAATAATTTGATAAAATGTACATTCAAGTAATCTTATATTCCCTCAATCAAACATTGTAATCTTACATTCCTACTAAACAGACCAAACAAACAAGATAATACAACATTCTCACGGTAATGTTACATTCCAGTAATCTTATTTCCAAATGTAATCTTATATTCTGTGAACTAAACAACCCTTAAGTTTACTCTTCCATCACAAATTCTCATCGACTTCAAGCCATTGTTTTCAAGATATTACTTCAAGCCATGAAAGAAATGTGCTTTTCAGCACTTTCTGAAATTAATCTTGGCGGTCACTTTCAGAGTATTTGATTGTTTTTGGGTTAGGCAAATGTTATCAAAGAGAAAACAAAGACAAATCCTCAAATCGGGAGTTCCAAGAAGCTGCCAGCAATCAAAATGCTTTAAAGTTGACGCCAAGTAAAACCAAAATTGCTAGAAATACTTCTGTTTTCAAATGATATGTACATTTACAAACTGTACTGGACTGAAATACCTAAGAAACATCATACAGCATGCTATTAACAGCTGCGAGAAAACATAATCACAATCTTCAGAAAGCATTAGAGAAAATCTTAGAATTCCACTTTTGTTGCACGAGCAAGATGTGCCTGTTTTCAGCTCACACCTCGATATATGGCATTAGTTCGAAGGTCATCCATAGTATCAATGTTTCTGTATCCATCAATCTCTCTGAGACCTGTGTAGCCACGACGGGCTAGATATTCACGGTAATCATCTTCTACATAAAAGATCTTGTCTTCTGTGTGGACCGGTATATGATCTGACTCATCATAGTGGCAAACTTTTATAGCCAAACCTGAGCGCAGAAGTTTGAAAATACACAGAATTAATATGTAACCCTTCATCAATTACTTGAGAACTTTCTTTTTGTGTCAGAATAGTTGTATAAGCAGCATGAATGTCCACGTACCTTCATCGAGATGGAGAGTATAATTCCCTAAAGGCATTTCCCTGTCAAGGCTACGAACTATATTGTCTTCATCCTCCAACCAAAATGCACGCTTAGTTCTCAATCTAAAAGCAGATTTAATTGCCTCTCGGATGGCAACAGCAGTACCATCTATACCAATCCTTCTGGTGTAGTCCCCAAACTTGACAGTTATAACTCTTCCTCCATATGCTTGACAGTCCCCACCTTCCAAAACGAGTGTGGAACAGAATAGCAGGTAAAATACAAAGATTTCTACCCGAACTAAAATTTCCATATCAGACGACATTTTGGAGCCAATGGCCATAATCAAAGAGAATTTAACACAAGCACATTCAGTTGAGCAAGTATGAAGAAACTGTGACACACCGACAAAAGACCATGCAAAACTGTCATTTAAAATTAGTTCAGCCAAAATTCTACCAGAATTTACCATTTCCAGGGGTCTCTCTCCAATTCCAAGGAGGAACTCCACTGGCTGCAACTGCATCAGCTGCGGCAATAGCAAGAGGATGCCCATCATGATCTAAACGTCTTTCGAGATTAAGTGTTGGCCTTCCACCAGCTGCACACCAGAAAACATGAACAGAAGGAGACTTTTTAAGGTAATTAGATTGAAAAAAGCAACACGGAAAATAAAGAAAATATGTTACAGTAAACCGACGAAAGACACACTTCGGTAAAAGGATGTTTAGTACATGCACAATCAAAGTTGTTTTCATTGTTTGACTGATGAAATTAATAGAGGGGGCAGAAACTAAATATTGCGAGATTAATATGACAGGTAACAATCTTGGCCTTAGGAAAATATGCAAATAACTAGTTGCTCCCACAATAGGAGTTTCAAGATATACATACTTCTCTAATTATTCCTCTTAAAGCTCCTAAATCCAAGCAAGAAGTGGATAAAATTAATGGCATTGCATCCACTAGATTCTATGAATTAACCAAATTAGCTTTAGAAGAAATATTACCACAAGCATAGAAAGGAGAAAAAGAATCAAGATAAACCAGAAGAAAGCAAACTCAAACTGAAACAACAATATACCTTCTACAGGACCAAATGATATGCCAGCATCCTCAAATCCTACATGAACATCCCCGAGTATTAATGTCAATCCATACTGGTAACGTGTATTAAAGTCATAGTAATAGCAAAAAAGACCTAATATATGTTACAATAAGAACGAAGAAACAAAAGAACAGTCTGGTTACTCTGGTAGCCTACATGAACACTGTTGCTACGAAGAGAGAGAGAGAGAGAGAGAGTAATCACCGAAAGCAGGAAGCTAAATATTATGTACTATTTTCATTAAGTGATATGCAACAGAAAGGCATTATTTTGGCATAAGACAAAACCCCGGAAAACCTTGTAACAGAAGCCTGAAGGTATTGGAAAATGGATCAAACCAGATAAGATAACAGAAAGGAAAACAATAAACCATAAATAGATAAATGAAGAAACAAAAGAACAGTCTGGTTACTCTGGTAGCCTACATGAACACTGTTGCTACGAAGAGAGAGAGAGAGAGAGAGAGAGAGTAATCACCGAAAGCAGGAAGCTAAATATTATGTACTATTTTCATTAAGTGATATGCAACAGAAAGGCATTATTTTGGCATAAGACAAAACCCCGGAAAACCTTGTAACAGAAGCCTGAAGGTATTGGAAAATGGATCAAACCAGATAAGATAACAGAAAGGAAAACAATAAACCATAAATAGATAACTCTGACTAAGTAGCATCCATTGCCTGGCCTATGATATTATGATATATGTATCACCTTTCGAAGTTGACAAAGGTTAGTTCATCACATAAGTACGCTCTCGAATGACCAAGCTCTTTCGTCAGGTGTACCACATCAGCTCTTCCAAAATAAATTTGCAGATATCAACATGATACTACTCAACTCTTATTAAAAAGGTAGTATACTAAATTTAAAGGAGACCATAGAAGCCTAGGGCCTTTATGCAGTATCTGGAAATTTGCTTTGCAAACTACTCATCCATGTTCTGCTCAGCATGACTAGTACTCAAGTAAACTGAATCCCATATGATTTTTCAATTTTCAACACACGACCCTTTGCTTCGCAAGTACGTATAATAAATGTTAAACTTCATAATAGAAACATCATTTAAAAGCTGTAGTTGTGTAAGTTCCAACTTTCATATGGAAACATGAACTCAAAAAGCTTCTTCAAAGCACACATTAAAACCATAAAAAATTAACAGAAGCAGACATTTCCAGTCAAAGAAACTCTTAAGTTAAAGAACCAAATATACTTCTTTCTTCAACCGCGGTTAGTACTACCATCTTATGCTTCTAAGACTCAAGTATATACAGTTGAAACGCATTAAAGCCATACCCTTTAAAAGAGAAATCCAGCAAAAACCACCATCTAATAACAGCACAAAAACACTTCACTATAAATTGCACTTGTTAAATGCAAAATGAATTCATAAATGGAAAAATAGCACATACCCTTGTCAGCAAAATGCATAAAGGAATCAACCTTAGGAGGAGGAGTTGGACTCTTATAAGCATTCTTCGTTCTCTCCCTCAAAATTTCCTCAATTTCCTTATAATAAGACATCTTAGCCGACCCACTCCCTCTATCCTGATGCCTAGCCTTTTTAAACTCCTTCAACAAGTTCCTCCACTTGTCTGTACACATAGTCGGGGATCGATCGAACCCTTTCTCTCTCATCTTAGCCGAAATCTGCTCCCACAAGTGCTTATTGGATTTGGAAGTATTGAAAAGGCCGTCCATTTCTCTACGGAGGGCGATAAGGCATCGGGTTTCATCTTGCACCCAGGTCTCGGCTCGTTTCTTTGGGGCTTTGACTTCTGGGTCATCGCCGCTGCTTTCACCTAACATCATTTGCTGGTGGTGGTGAGGAGGAGGAGGGGCGTGGTGCTGGTGGTGAGGTGGCAAGTCCCCATCGGTGGTGACCTCGAAGATCATGTCACGGTCAGTAGCAGGACCTTCCTCCTTGTACAAATCTATCGAACGGGGTTTCTCCGATAAGTACATGGGGTGGGGGGTTGAATCCGAATGGAAAATGGGTTGCGTTTTGTTTCGTTGATTAAGGGGTTTTAAGGCTTTAAATAGTTGAAAAGGCTAAGGGAATTCATGGGGGGATTTGATTAAAATTTGACGAGTTTTTTATTTTATTTATAGAAGTTTTAGCAGAGGAGGAAGGAGGGAGCGTGGAGTAAAAGGCTAAAAGCTTGGGCAGTGAGTGTATGAAATTTGATTTCGTTGATTGATTGATTAGCGGAGAAACAGGGATATATGCCCTTGTTTTTGCCATTGCACTGCCTTTCTCTCTGTATTTTTTTACTTTATCCAAACCTAACCATTCTAGTAAATTTGTTCATGGGTCGAATCATGACTTAATTTAGATTAATCCGAGTCAATAGTTGATTTATAAATTAAAAAATAGTCTAATTTTTTTTATAAAAAATAGGTATACAATTTTTAAGCTAAGTATGTGGTAGAAGAAAAACATATTAATAATTAAGAGAATTATCACTGTATAATCATTATTTTAAGCTAATGACATTTCTATTTATATAATACTTTGTAAAAAAACAATGAAGACTACCACTTGAGTCAATGGTTAAAGGTGAATATTTTCTTTTTAAAATTTTGATTCAAAATCTTTTAAAATTACTTTTATTTTTCTAATTTTAAACTAATCAAATGGTGTCTCATATCATCATCTGATTAAATTGTAATCAATTTAATAAAATAAATAATGATTATTCTGTTTTTTTAGGGCGAAACCAAATAAATGAGAAAGTGGAAGTTTATTTCATAACATTCAACATATCTTAAATTTATATAGAACAATGCTCTATGCCTTAGGAACCCTAAACATTGATTTTAAAAATTGTTTGTAGGGTTTTGGAGTAAACATTTTCCTCGAAACTTTCGCTCAACAAGGAAGCATACCTCTAAGTAGCCCTCTTTGTACAGCAAAGAGTTGTTCAGCGGATTAATGCTACGGAGCCAGATCTCCAATGGCAACCTGGTGATATTGATGGAATAAACAATGACACAATCGGTGTTGTTGATTTCAACTTACCAAATGTGTACGAGAATTGGACTGTTTTCGATGAACCAAGAAGCCGTAAGAGGTGAAAGCTGGAACATTCTATGATGAATGATTTGATTAGTAACAATGGTAACTTGAATTTTAGTACTACTACTAACTTGACTACGAGCTTTCTGGGACTCCAGTTCCGCAATCATTTATAGGCCTACACGCAGAGATATTTAGCGATTCACGTGATGGAAGATACGATCGGAGGCGAGAAAAATGGAACCAATGAAGGAGGGGAAGGGATGAAACTAGTGCAACAACTCATTGCTTGCGCCGAGGCAGTGGCTTGTCGAGACAAACCTATAATCTATATTAATTAAATACTAACTCATTCTAAACCACTCATTTGCAACATTAAGTTAACATTGTCTGCGGGTGAAGAGAATGACTAGCTAAAGCAATACTCCATTTTTTTTTATCAGAAATCCGACTTCCACCAAAATTATTTAAAAATAATATTAAGTAATAAATAATTAACAAAAAATATACATTTAATAATTGATTTAATCTATTTGATTAAAATTTTCTATATCCAATTGGATCCAATCTTTTAATATTTTTAATCTATGACATTGTATTATAAAATTTAAAATTAAATAAAAAAGGCCACAGAGATTATAATATGATCTTTCAAAACTATAATAAATAAATAAATAACAGTTGTACAGATTATGACAGGTCTTAGAAAAAAAAAGGGAGGGTAAACTACAGTTTAATATTTTAATTATCACTCTTATTTCGTTTTGATTATTTAATTATTTTTTATTTTAAAATCATATATAATATTTAGTTTTGATTTTATTTTGGTCACCTAATTATTTTTTATTTTAAAATCACGGTCAAAAAATTAATAAAATTATTGGCATAGTATTTTTATTATGATGACATGATATTAAATTATGGTGACACGTTAATACTTTTAGCAGTGAGTGACCAAAATGAAATCAAAATTAAAAGTAGATAAGTGACTAAAATAAAATAAAAGTAATAGTTCATATACTAAACATGTAGTTTATCCAAGAAAGAAAGATGGACAGAAAAGCAACGGTTTTAGATAAGAACAAAATAAACAAATGGGTGTTTCCAATTAAATACTGAGAGAAAAATGTTATTTCTTAGACGTATAAACATAATATTCCTTCCTACTTTCTTTATCAAATCATACAACTTTAAACATCTACTTCAGACCCAACCAACTTTCAAAAAGGGTGAACTAATATTTACCCATATTTTACTTATTTTATTTTAAATTTTATTATACAGTTCATTTAAACGTGATGAATTGACTATTATTATTATTATTAGTTTGAAGTGATTATTATAATGTTATATTGTTAATAATTTTTTTAATCATCGATAGCATATGTATATTTTGTAAACACAATTACTTGAATTTAGAACATCAAAAGAAAATAATATTCTCTTTGGCCACTAAAATCATTCGATGAAATATAAAATTATAAAAATTATTTAAAAATATAAGTAATAGAAAATTATGTATATATTCGAATTGCTTTAAATTCATATGTGAAATTGAAATTTTTTATAATTTAATTATTAAATTTATACTTTTAGTATTTTTGATGACATTATACTTTAAAATTATATTATGTTATCATTTAAGAATTTTTAAAATATATATCTTTGAGTGATAGTGTGATAATATAAAATTCTATCACATCATCAAAATAACTGAAGTTTTAAATTTAAAGATTAAATTAAGTTTTAAATTTAATTTTTTATAAAAGAAACAAAAATTAAGTAAAATTATCAAACTTATGTATAAAAAAACTAGAAGCCACTTAGGTGTACGTTTTCAAATTCAAAAAAAAAAGTTTATATTTAAATTTTTGAGAAAAATAAATTTTTATACAATGTAATAAAAATTAATGATGTAATAAAAAGTTTTAAGATAAGTGATTAAAATAATTTAGAGAAATTAAGTTATTAAATTCAAAGAGTGAATGCTATTTTATTTAAATTTAAAATATATTATTAAATTGTTATAAATTTTTAAAAAAATAATATTTAATTTATTGATAATAGATTATTTTATGTACAGTCAATCAATTAAAGGATAAATTAATAAAACTTTAAAATTAACAATTTTTTATTACTTAGTATAAATAAATCTTATTTGTGCATCAATTACTCACGCCTATTTTGTTGTTGAATGAAATATTAGCAGTATCACTTTATTTATAATCAGAAAACTGATGAAAAGAGGTCAAGGCCAGACAGAAGAAAAAATACCCCTTAATTTGCTTCTTAATTTCCTTTTTTCCTTCTGTTGTGCTTTTGGAGATTGGGTTCTTAAAAAGGCGAAACCCAGTTCTTCATCTTTGTAGATTCTCTATCCCGTTAAGTTTCCTTTTTTTTCCCCTCTGCATTTTTTAAAGAGACGGATATGGTGTATTATCAGTTATCAAAGTCTTCTTATGAGGACTCTTTGAGAATACTAAAGGCTGATATACAGCATGCAAATGCTTTGTAAGTTTTTCCTTCTTGGGTGTTCAATTTTCTTGAAAACTTTATATTTTTATTTTTATTTATTTGGTTACCTCACCCTCCTTGAAGTTGATTGTTGACTTCTTCTTCTTCTTGTTCTGCTTATTAATTGCTTGATTGGATTTCTTTTGATCATCTTGCTTTTAAAAAAGCATAATTTTTTAGCTACTCTGCTAGTTGTGTAAAAAAGGAAATTATTAAAAAAAAAGGAAAATTTCCCAGTTTTGATTACTATTTATGATCATCTTTTGTTGTTTTTATGATGGTATTGAATAAGCAATTGCATACTTTTAGCATATGGTTTTAGTATTGTAAATTGTCTCTGCCTATTTGCAGAACTTGTTGGTAGTTGATGCTCCTTTAGCTTACAGGAACTCAAGATGATTTCACTTCAAAAAATGAAGAAAAAAGTTGGGAAGTTTTCCCTTTATGTTTTGGTCCAACTTTATGTCATCATGAATGCTTGATGATTGGCTAGGAATGTAATTTAGATGTCTCCATTTTGATCTTCTCTTGTCTGGACTTGGTAATTTGATGTTTCTTTTGCTAATATTTGCATACATGTGATGTTTGATGACTGTCTTAGAATGTAATTTAGATATCTCCATTTTAGTTGCTATAAGAGTGTTTGTGTCCTCCTGCGGTTTTAGGGCTGCTGCAATTCCAAGGGCCAAGAGCGGTGCTCGTGTTCAAATGAAATTGGCCTACAATCATTTGGCTCCCCTCTTTCTATTTCTGTTGCAATGGATGGACTCTTCTTGCACATGTCTACTTCCTAGATATCTAGACCTCTTTCACGTACTCGTATACAAGGTCCATTTGTCTTATCGATTTATTTTGTTCCCCTCTTTGACATTTATTTTTCGTTCATATTCATATGTGCCCTTTGTTCATTTGCATCTTGTTTGCTACAGGTCTATACAGATGGGAGATCGAAGATCTCTAGACATGGAAGGAAGGCAACAATTAGAGAGTTTTACAGTATGCATCAGTCATGGTTTGAGTGTTATTTTACCATAATATTTCTGCCATAATGATTCATTTACCTTACCATTGACTTGCTCTGCTAATTTAACGAAATTGTAGGCGTTATATTACCATATCTTCAAAGGCTCCATGGTAGCTTAGGGGAGTTTGATGATGATACGGAAACCCTTATTATGATGGGGAGTTCTGCCAAGAAAAGAGTAGAATTAGATAATAGACTTGGTAATATTGATTACGAGAGGGAAGATGAATGCGGAATTTGCTTGGAGCCTTGCACGAAAATGGTCTTGCCTAATTGTTGTCATGCAATGTGCATCAATTGCTACCGCAATTGGTATGGTAACTCGGAATCTCTTGTCATTTTCTTGCATTTACGTGCTTTTCAGTTTCGCTCTCAATGTTTTCGTTTCCTAATTACAGGAACACGAAATCAGAGTCCTGTCCTTTCTGCCGTGGTAGTTTGAAAAGAGTCAACTCTGAAGATTTATGGGTGCTTACTTGCAACGATGATGTGGTTGACAATAAAACTGTTACACAGGAGGACTTGTTGCGTTTTTACCTCTACATCAACAACCTACCAAAAGATTGCCCAGATGCACTTTTCTTGGTATACTACGAGTATTTAATTTGAAGTCGATGAAAAAATGGTGTACAGATAGAAAAAAAAACCGCGGACCATCAAATGTAAAAGGAGTCTGCTAAGTACAATTCTCTGTGCTGCTTACGTAAAAGACAGTCCCGTTTTCTATGCTTTTCGGAAATTAATGAACAACAGTGTAAGAAACCCTCATTTAATTATGAATGGAAGTTGTAATTTATGAAACTCGAGTCTGTGGTTCCCTTGTCCGTCTAGTTGAAAGTGATAGACGAAGCGCATGAAACGGACTAGTTAATTAGACAAAGCCTCTTGAATCTACTCTGTCTTTTCTTTTCTGAAGAGTTGAATGAATGGTTTATAATGTATGTATAGCACAGATGGTTTATACTTGATTATGGTTTGATGATGGTTTAGAATGGCCAGAATTGGAGAAAATTTCAGGCCATTTGTACCCTTGTTTTGTTTTTTAGCATGCTGTTAAAAGCAGCTGAATCTTTCAGGTTGGAAGTTGAAACCTTGCCATTAGATTGTCTTTGCAGGAAAATATTAATGGCATCTGTTTTTTCCCCAGCTGATTCTAGTACTAACATTGGAGTTCAAGTATAGTTATTGGACACAGCAAATTGATTCAATTTGTATCGACACATTATGAAAGAATGTAACAAAGGTCAATAAATGACCCCACTCCACTGTTACAATAAAACAAGTTGAAAATTTATTTTATTCAAATTCCACTCCTAATATTTGAAATTAAACAATTGAATTTCATTTTAAAAATTATATTTCAAATAATAAAATAAATTAAAATATTTTATAATAATTATTTATTAATTTTTTTATAAAATAAAATTATCAAATAATGTTAAAACCCGAGAACTGAAAATAATTAATAATTAACGTCAAAAAATAATATAGAAAAATGAAGAACCAGATCGAATCAAAATGAACTGTTTAAAAAATTTAAGAAATTCGACTGGATCGAATCGATCTCATCTCCAATCACTACTTGCATAAACGATTTAGGTTGTTTTCAGAAAATGAAGTTGATGAAGGTTTTATTAGCTTAGAGTTTTACCGTAAAAGGAATTCTTTATAATTAAATATTTTTTATCTGACTGTTTTTTTATTATATATTTGATGATCTATATTTAAAATTTAAAACTGTTTTTTTCTTATTATTGTTAATTTTTTATTTACAAGATTTAAACTTGCAATCTCATGTAATATATTTTATAATATTATTGATAAAAAAAACTCAGTAACATTATTCATCATTTATTTGAGATTGATTTGTTTCAGAAATAAATATTTAAAGTATATTGTTTTTTATTTAAATATTTAAAATATTTTTTTATTAAAATAGGTATATAAAGATATCTATATAAAAATGAATATTATAATATTTATTTTAGCTTAAATATATTTTAATTACTTAGATAAAGTAAGGTGGTATATTATATATAGCTAAGCCATCCTTGTCCCTAGCTCGTGATCAATTACGAGTATAAATTTCAAAACCATCATCGTCTCACTTACGATCTAAAAGATTAAAATCATTCCCATCTCACTATTCATATGGATTTTAATATCTACCTAATTCTAGTTATAATCGTTCCACACCCGCTTCATAAAATATATTTATAAGTAACAATTAAATGAATTTAAACTATTTTTTATGAAAAAATACGAAATGCATGTCTTTTGAATTCTCACCACAAATATGTCATTATTCTAATTATTTTCATTTAAAATAATGACAGGTTATTGTGACTTTTAATATATAACTTCAGCATAAGTTCAAAAAAATTAAAAATAAAATTCTCACATAATATCTAAAAGTAAATAATGAAGTGAGATAAGAGAGGATGAGACATATAAATTTATATTCATACATGCTCCACTAACATAGTCCCCACAAAACTTATCCTACTAACATCTCTATTATAAGCACTTATTTTTTTAATTTAGTATTTGAGATTTTTTTTATACACATGAAGAAATCAGAAAACTAATGCCTTAGTTCACCCGCTCCATTCTTATATGCTCCCAACAGCTCTAGAAGATCAATTGGAGGCGCCTGCAATATAGACAAGTCATTTTCTTGTAGTAATGCCAGGTTAGCCAATTTATCAGCACATTTATTTCCTTCACGCCAAATATGTCATACTTCTACCACCCAACCTTCTTTAAGGATGCTTATGCATTCATTTACCAAATCAATATTCGCGGGGTCATTCATCCTTTCGCCATTGAAGAGGTCCACAACCCACTTTGCATCCATTTCTAAAATCAAATTCCTTAAGCCAAGACTTTTTGCTAATATCAGACCCTGTCAAGCCCCCAATTTTCAGCGATCAAGTTGTTCACCCTTCCTAGTCGCAGCGTGAACCCAAATTTCCAGTCTCCATTGTTGTCTCGGATCAACGCTCCTGCAGCAGCCAGACCTGAACTCATTTTATAAACACCATATGTGTTTAAAATCCATCCTCCCTCAGGCGGTTTTCTCCAATAAACCTAACTCGGATCGTTTATCATCTTTCTTTAGGAGGTTGTCAAGGCTTTCTCTATATCTCTAGTAAACTCTTTAGCATACTTTACCACTTCAAACAGGTTTGTTCTCGCATCTTTGAATACTCTATCATTTCTGCTCTTCCACAGACCCCAAATGGCAACCATAAACAAGGGGCCTCATTCTAAATCCTCTATTCCGGACTACTTTGAGAGACAATTCCTTTTTAGCCAATTTTTTTAAGTCCATCAAGCCGAATTGTCTATCTTGTTCCCAAGCTTTTAGTTCTTCCCAAACTATTAGAGATTTACCGGTGAATATATCATAAAAAATAATTGATTTGTCTTAAAAGCGACTAATTAAATATACTAACTTATTTAAATATCTAAAATATTTTCTTATCAAAATAAATATTTAAAGGATTAAATTTTTTAGTTGTCTTCCTGGTTTCTCAAGATTTTGTCATAACTAATCCAGATTGACTCGTGTCGCACACTTGATTTTAGTGGATGAGTCTCTCATTGGAGATTTTAAAACATACATAAAGACTTGAACTTAAGACATGCTTAAGTGATATCAAGTTGCTTATCACTTGAACCAACTCCATTGGTAATGTAACATAATGCTTTGTAACCCCCTAGAACCGACCTATGCGTTACGCCCAGATCTAGCGAATTACAGTAAAAATTTTCAAAACATTCTTCGATAATTTAAATTCATATTATAAATAACATCTTTAAAAAACATAGTTAATAATGATAAAATCCAAACGAGTAAATATAAAATCATAAGTGATTGAGTAAAATAAAATATGTCATAATCAGTATCGCAGTAAATCTAACATCAGTAGCAAAAGTGGTATAAGTCGTAAAACAAGTATTTCGAAATATATGCATATGCCACCGATAATGAAGGCAGTTCGAAAGATAAAAACATTACAACAAAATGTACTGCACAAAATGCGTAGATCCTCCAAGTGTCAAGTTTGGGGTGTTATCCAAAAGTATCTGAAAGGGAAAAAGTTTGAGAAGTGAGCTAGGGAGCTTAGTGTGTTTCAATAGTGCAAAAAAAAAAACATCGTAGAAAAGTATTTAGAAAAATAATTTAGTAAGGTTTCATAAAGTAACAGTGAGGTTTATATATATTTTTTTAAATTTATAACTACCCTCTTCCGTACACTGTAATGCAGTCCCCAGACTGCATCCATAAGGACTTACCCTATACCCATTGGATATAAGAGCCAAACTAAGGGAGCATCTTAGGGCCTGAGAGCCTACCCAAGAAAGTTCTTGGGGCCTCGGAGCCTACCTAAGGGCCACCCTAGATCAGTAAAAAATTAGTAGCTTGATCAGAGCTCAACCTCTATACTCTAGTATCTTACCCAAAACAGTATATCAATAAAATAGTTCACATAGTAAACAGTACATTCCATGATCCAGAAATCGACATAATCATATTTTCTAGTGAAAACAAGTAACTAGATACATATATCAAACAATCATAGTTCATAAATAGTCAACCAATAAATCAATAAATCATAATATCGTGCAGTTAAAAGATTTAGTAAATCAGTAACTTCGATAAATAATATTTCAAAACAGATAAAACAACATATAACACATAGGGAACACACCTCGCAAAAAGGGATCAGTCAGAGTCTACTGAGCACCTGCCTTGCCACGATCTGCAGTATTGCTCGAACCTAATTCATAATGCAACAGAGTTATTATCAGAATAATATTTTAATTCAAATATCCTTAGGGTTTATGAATCATACGGGTAATCACTGGCTCATGGGGTTGAACTGATCAGGAGGAGCTGGGTCGAGCTGTCAAACGATCAGAAGAGTCACAAGTACCTTCAAATAATAACACATGAATTAATCCTTGTCCATAATTTAAAATGAGCTTAAATAAAATGCTTAAATACATATGCATGTTTGGGTTAATAGTCAATTCAGAGGCTTTCAGGTTCAAATTTGGCAAAACAGACTTCGTATTCGGACTAAGGACGTCAAGAAACATAAAATATGATTTTTTTTTTGAAAATTTTGACTTTTTGGTCAAAGTCAAAGTCATCGATGGTCAAGGTCAAAGTCAACATTAGTCAAAGTCAACGAATTGACTCAGTTAGAGTTGATTCAACCGAGTTGACTCGATCGAGTTGTTTAGCCAAGTTGACTTAGTTCGAGTCAGTTTGAACCGGTTTGAACAAGTTTAGACTGGTTCGGTCTGACCAGACCGGATCTATAGCTTCATGGGTCGACCGAGAAGTCCCACGCGTACCGACATCACGTACGGTGGTGACGGGAGCCATTGAGGACTACCAATCACTCCACCAGCCGCAACTTAACATTTCTAACCAATTTAACTCAAAATCAAACCAATATCTCAATGAAAAAAAATGAAAAGAAGGCAGTCGAAAGTCTTACCCACGACGAACTGTGATGGAGCAACAATGGGTGACCAAAACTCTTGGATTTCGATCACACGACATCGGGGAAGCCAATGGGAGTGGCGTGAGACGAGCGAGTGGCTAGATCGGCGGTAATAAATGAATTTCAACGGTGTGTGTTTGGTTTTTCAACGAAGTTGTGCAATGAATTTTACGACGAACAGTGCCGATTTTTGGAGTGAGGAGGCTCAGGGTTTTGTTAGAGCAATGCGCCAGTCACGATAGGGGTGTCGGTGCACTCAAAGACGATCGGATGGCGTCGAATCGGTAAAGAGGCGATAGACTGCTAGGGATTTAAGGGTTTGGGAAATTATGGATTTAAGGTTTCCAATCTGGAATGGGGGATGGTTTTTTGGGTTATAATTTTAGTACACCAATAGTGACTTAACCTAGTTGGTAGGAGAATAGTTGGCCATGAATTGGGTGAGGGTTTCAAGACCCTCAGTCACACATTTCTATTTTTTTTTATTTTTCTTTGTTAACCTAAAAAGGAAAAAATTAGGGTTGAGTCCCTGAACTTCATAAAGGTTCAAATTTGACATGTAAACTTCTAAAACTTGTAATTTAGTCCATAAAATCAACTAAATTAATTTTTTAAGTTTTAATTTAAAAATGGGGATGTGACATGCTTTGATAAAATATACTTTAAATATTTAAATAAAAACTAAATATTTTAAATACCTACCTTAATTAAAAATATTTTAGATATTTGATAAAGGCTTAAATATAAAACAAGTGTCCAAACTATACCGCTTTTCATGAATAAGTGCCTACAATATTTTTGGAATCATCCAGGTGTCTAAAGTTACAAATGTTATTACTTTAGGTGTTCGGGCCGTAATTGTTGTTAGTTTTCTTTGTTAAGTGACACATGTCATATTCTGGTAATTTTGATTTTTTAAATTAAAAATATTATTATATTTATAAAAAACCCGTAATTTATCTTAAATTACAAAAAAACCAAAATTCATAAGAATCCTAAATCTTAACCCTAACTTGCGATCGCCTCCCTTTCCGTCCACAGCCACCGCCTTCGGCTTAGTTCCTGTCATACTCTTAATCATACGTCGTCGTAGTTACCACCGATTGACTATCAGAATCCTGATTTTCATCTTACGGTTCGTGGGGCACAAAACGTTGATTGACCATCGATCGATTGTTATTTCATAGAGGTATTGATCGTTAGGGGTAGGTGAGGTCGGGTGGAGTTTCGTCGACGACAAAGAGCGATGGCTGACGCGAGTTTAGGGGTTGAAATGAAAGTTTTTAAAGTTTTAAGGCTATTTTAAATTTTTGTGTTTTTTTTAAATATATAATTTTAATTTTTTAATTTTAAATAGAATTTTTAAAATTACCAGAATATAACACTTGTTACTTAACAGAGAAAATTAACGGTGTTTATGGCCCGAGCACCTAAAGTATTAACGTTTGTAACGTTAAGTACCAAGATCATCAAAAAAATATTGTAAACACCTTATTTTTTTAATTACGCAAAATTAATTCCAACAGCGTTAAAAATGTCCATAAATGATTAGCAGCAAGTGTACTTTTTATGTTTATTCGGCCATTGATGAGTAAGAAACTTCGACAGGGTTAAAATTAGGATCAATTACATAAATGTTGCATGGTTATTAAAAATTATAAAATAATTTCTTAATTTTATGGTAATATTTTATTAAGTATTACAATTATTAAAAGTTTTAAAATGTCATCCGACGGTTCATATATTTCGAACTCGTCATTTTTCATTAAAAATTTGACGGTAATTTGATTAGTATGTTAACGTACTAATTGAGATATAATAAAAATCATATTTTAAGGATATATACTAGAACCATTGTTACTTTCAAACATTGACTCGACGACATAATGTCTCAAACACTAGCTCAATGAAAAAATGTAAACAAAGAGTCGATCCGCAAAATACAACTCAAACAATTCTAAGATCAGATTTTATCATATCACAATCAACATATTAATGTCTAGTTCAAACGATCGCTATTTTTAACGAAAAATGACGAGTTTAAAACATATGAATTGTAAGATAACCGTTATGTAGCTTTTAATAGTTAGAGGACTTAACAAAACACTGTTCTAAAATTAGAGACTATTTATAACTTTTAATAATCGAAAACTTAATAAAATAATATTCTATAATGGGGGCTATTTATGTATTTTACCCTTAAATAATTTGATGTTAGATTCCTAAGGAGCCGGGGGTAGATCTCAGACACGCTACACTAAAGTATTGGGGACTCTTCACTCATCCCTGGTCAAAAAAGAAACAAAATAAGAAAAGAAAGGCCATCAACAACCACGGAAACTGAGTGCTAGTGGAAAACGACGACCCTGCCATGTCTTTTGTCAACCAAACCTTTATCCCATGCATTCTCTTTCTTTTTTCCCTTTTTGGTCATGGAAGCGAAGAATTGCAACATTAACTCCTTAATTTGATCTGCTTCCGATCATTTGTTCGAGAAAAAAAACACAATGGTTAGCTGTGCCGGACGTGGCGCTTGCCCCTCCGACTATGTAGCTGTTTCCATCGCCATCTTCTCCATGATATCGTACATTTCTGTTCTTTGAAATCTTTGCTGAAAACCCATTTTACACAGCTCATTAGATTTTCATTTCGAAGTAAAAGTTCCAATTTTTTTTAGATGGGAAGTTTTGTTTCGTCATTAACTGTTTGATGTTATGCCTCATTGGATTTTTTTCTACATTTTCAATCTGATCATATATATATATATATATATATTGTCTTTCCCCTTTTGTTGCAGACTTATTGTGAAGTCGACTTTTCCGTTTTTGATACACAAGGTTCCAATTGCAAAAGGAAGTACCTTTTGGATTCCAGTCATTCAAGTCTTTGCCAGCTTCGACTTTCTGTTATCAATTGTGGTAAGGCAATGTAGAGCCTAGACTTCAGTTTTTTGCTAACCACTTATTCATATCGCCATGTAATCATATACTTTCCACAGATGTCACTTAACTTTCTTAAATTCCAAAAGAGCTATTGGTGGTTGTCATGCTATGTTTGGGCAGGTAATGAATCCCTAATTACTTTTCAGTTTAGTTTATATTTTTCCATGAAATAGTCTGAAGTATATTTTGCTTTCAGTATGGCTTGAAGGTCCACTTGGATTTGGTTTGTTGTTGAGCTGCCGAATAGCACAAGCATTTCAACTATACTATGTATTTGTCAAGTAAGTGGATTTTCTTCTATGTGAGGAATTTTAAGATATGGCTGGACACAACCTGACCTGCAATGAAGGTTTTTGTTCGCATTTTTATCCCTAGTATGAATTCAACAATGAGAAATTTGGTTTTAATGGTTTTTCAAGGCTCAAGGTTTAAATTCAAAAACAAATTTTTAAAAAATTGAAAGCTATTTGCATATTAATATTTAATTGAGAAGTATCAATTTTACATTTTATTGTATATTATTATATATTTTCTTTTATTGTAGTACAGTGTATCTTGTTGCATCCTCTTCTCCAGTTCTTAGAAACTCCCATATTGCTGTTTCAGTGGTGTGTCATACTCATACGCCCGATCTTCCAAGCTTACGGATTTTTTTCTCTTATCTTAAACCAGACAAAAAAAAAATGTTTGTTAAATTCTGTTAATTTTGCTTAATTAACAGTTGATTCTGTTAATTTTGCTTAATTAACAGTTGATTCTGTTAATTTTTGGTGAGATGGTTCAGCTCTTAAGTTACAGATCATCCTTTAATTCTTGAATCAATAAATTTAAGTGCATTTTTTATTTTGAAACTTTGCTACGTGAAATAGGACAATTTGCTAAGCACTTAACTAGATAATTATACTGCCAAACAATAAGTTTGCATCACATTGCAGTGTTTAGTTTTCTTAGAGCTGTTATTATCTATTTAAATCATGTCACTCCTGCAAAATATGGTTAATTTGTTGCTGTTGATCTTTTCAGGAGGCGATTACCACCAATTAGATCTCATATGTTTCTTCCATTGATTCTTTTGCCATGGGTTGCAGGCGCTGCATTTAAGAATGTATAAAACCTTCCTATTTACCTGGTTGAACATATTGCATTGAAATTAAGCTTCTCTTTTAGCAAAACATTCTCCAAATGAGTTGTTTCATCTATTTATTTAAACTTCTGCATATTGTTGACAGATATCTTGAATTAACATATGGAATTGTCATCTATAATTGTTACAAAGCTTAAAAACTATATTTTCTTTCTCTATCCTTATTGTCCTATCAACAGTTGTATTACCTGTCAAGGATTTTTCTATTGACACTGACAATTTTTCTACAGATACATCAAGCTTATTCATGACAATTTTTTTTTACTCTTTTGTGCTCTAACACCACTGTGATTCCTATGTTAACCAGAGGTTTTAATTTTTTTGTAGTTATTCACGAAAAGAAGCCTCTAAATTACAGATGTCACTTGGGAACACATTGGATAATCCCTGTTGTATCTGTACACACATTATATGTTGCCGTTTTGATGGGGTTCACTGGGGCCATTTGGCACATAGAGTTTAGGTTTGATGAACTCAGAGACCTTTGGCAGGGAATACTTGTCTCAACATCACTAATTGGTAAATTTTTATCTCGGTTCCAACTCAGCTTACATTTCCTCAAATTGGTTCCACATATGCTGCACATCACATTATCATCATTGATAAAGGTCCTTCTTTTAATGCTCAATTTGGCTGACAAGAAATTGTGCAATTCTATAACTGGTCCACTATAATAAAATGTCTATGATACTTATCATGATTTTTATGTATTCAAAATTATTTTTCCAGGAATTAACGAGTTCTTTAGAGTTGGTAACTCTGAGAAACATTTTTTTTATCCTTGCACACTCAAAAGATTAGTTGCAAACTGCTTACATGCAACTGAGGTGGTTTAGTATTTTTTTAACATATCATTGGACACAGAAGCTGTGGTTTTGATGTAATATACACTCTTGTTGTAACAGTCATGATTCAACTACATGTTCCCCCTCCCAAAGACCCCATTGTGTAAAATGTAAAGTTTTATTGAGTTCAAAATTGTAGGAGTTGTTAAAAATTGTGATAGTAGTCAGGCTTTGGTGCAACAAATAATGATACAATGTTTCTCGTGATGGTTTTTGCTGATATTTCTGTGTATTCACGTTGACCTTAATTTTCGTACTTCTGCTCCTTTGAACTTCTCAGGAGTTTGGGTTTCTGCTTACATCTTAAATGAAATTCATGATGATATTTTATGGCTTCAAGTGGTCTCCAGATTTATGCTTTTACTTACGGTAATTGTTCCTTTGCATCTTGATGGGCTTGCTTACATCATTAGTTAGTTGATACACACATTGTTGAAGTTTATTTATTTGTGTTTGCTAACATGGCTCGGGTTTGTTTAACAGGCAAGCATTCTTGTACTGGTTTTCTTCTCCATATCAATTTCGCAACCTCTTCTCTCACAAATCAGTTTGAGGAAAAGGGAACGTCTAGAACTCAAAACAATGGGTCAAGCTCTGGGCATACCAGATAGTGGGATGCTATTACAAAGAGAAGAAGAAGTTGACGTTGATCCTAATGAACCATTGGATAAGCTTCTTCTGAACAAACGGTTTCGTCAGTCTTTTATGGCATTTGCAGACACGTACTTTCATACTTCACTGAGCTCCAGTTAGATTTTCTTAATGGTGGTTTGTTTTTTGTGTATTTTTATTGATGAAAACATGTTCTCACTTTTTTTTTATTGTTTATTTTACGCTTTCCAAAGGAACAAGAGACTATTATTTGTTTTGTAGTGATTCAATCTGTGTAGAAAATAATAGTTGGATTAAAATTAAATTGGTTTGATTATCTAAGGGGAACAAAGAGGAAAATGGTTTTCCAAACAAAATTCTGAAAACTAAAGAACAGATTATTTGTGACCTTAAAAGCTTAAAAGAACATTTTTATCGAACTTGTTTGTTCCTGTTCACAGTTGTTTAGCTGGGGAAAGTGTGCATTTCTTTGATGAGGTGCACGAGCTTGGCAAAATTCCAATAGATGACCCAGTAAGAAGGATCTACATGGCATGTCATATCATTAACAAATACATAATAGCAGGTTTGTTCTTATTTTCGAGGAAGCACTGCTCAAACTTTAATGTTCTTTGTTATTTCCCATCTTAAGCCTTTTGATATGGAGAGGTCCATACCACATAAAATATACCTTTTCTATCTTCCACTTGTAGAAGATTGGCCCTTCTCCAGTAGGTTATAGATGATGCTTCAAATGTAAATGTTTGTTGTGATTTTTATGTCATTTTGGTGCCAAAATTCTGAAGAAACTAGTTTACCCTGTTTCCTATTTTTGGCATGAGGATGAACTGTGCTAGCTATTAGACATTATTAACAGAGAGAATGCATGTAGAACTATGTTGCTCCGACTTTTCATTTTCTTTGAAGTACTTGTGTCAGATATCTTTACCCAGTGCAATATCTGGAAATACCATTTTACGTGTTTCATTTCTCCATCAAACTTAATTCTGCTTCCAAGTCCTTAAAAACTTTGAATTACTGCAGATCCTCCTGAACTAAATTCTAGCACAGGTCTTGTCCTCTGGTTGGAAAATTAGGTAAATGTATCTGTGAAGGTATTGAAAAAATTGAAGCTTGTTTTGATTTCTCACTTTCATCGAAGAACATTTGTTTTCATAATTCTCAGTAAAATATAAATATTCTCCAAGGGATCAATTCAATTGTTCAGTATCAATTTTTTTTTATAATTTCGTTTATGAAGCTTGATTTTGACACTTACCACGAGCTTTTATTTAGTGCAAGAACTGCTGTTGCTTGATGATTATCTTCTTATTTACCTCGCAAGTTGTGACTTTATACTATATCCTGCCCAACTTGTCATACAGGTGCAGCAATGGAAGTTAACATATCTCATCGAATCCGGCAAGAAATTTTGACCACCAGGACCTAACACATCCGGATTTCTTCACCAATGCACTAAATGAACTGACGCAGTTGATGAAAATGGTGGGTTATTCTCATTGAAGTGCATATCAGTTGAGAATTATGTTGATTCATTTATATTATTTTTTTGTTATAGAGCTTGGCAAAGGATTACTGGTCATCCATGTACTTCATCAAATTCAAAGAGGAAGACAGAATGAGATGTTGTGGGGAAGAGATGAGTGGGTATAATTTCTCCCCCAGGTTGAGTTGTGTTCATGCTAGTGACGACCCCTTTCAGACCAATTTTCAAGTGGAGATATTCATGCTTCATACCCACATTGAACCGAGGTCCCTTGCTGTTTACTGTAAAGTTATATCATATATGGTTGTGAATATATATGATTTTGGTAGAGGTTATGGCTTGAGGAATGGTGAATCAGTCTGTCCCATGGATTTCACATGGATGTGATTCGAATGAGTATGTGGAGGTTGGACATGGAATGTGTAGGTTTAGTAAATGATTGTCCTACTTTGTTCACACTTTTAAAATTATTATTACCCTTTAAATGTATTAATTTTATATTCTTTATATACCATCAACCTTGACTCCAGTGGATGAGACTGATATTTCGGCAGAATTTCACGTTCCAATTTCCAATATTATAGCCCATACTAACATGTATGGATACGACACTGTCCCTGTTACTAATATATGTATTTATTTTATAAAATATTTTTAAATTCATTATTATTCATTTTTAAAAAATGTATTTTCATCTCTTTTCTAGATATAAAGGAATAGATAATTATTTAAAAGTTACTTTAATATAAATATATTATATTAACCGAAACTATAAATGATTTAGTAAATCGAATCCATCTAATAAATTTTCGTTACTTTATTTAAGATATCTCACGTTTCAGTTTGATGTCCCTGTCTGCATCAAAACTTTTAGTTAATGAAGGTGGTTTTCAGCTCAGCTACTTCATCCATTCCATATTTTTCGCCCCATTTCCCCCGTCTGTATCTGATTACTCTGTCAAAAGCCTTAAACGCAAACTCCATCAACCACATACGATTTAAAAGCTTTGCTAAAGATTTTCCCTTCCCTTCTCCTTCACTTATATATCTTCCCCTTTGATCTCCCTCTATTCTGTTATATTACCCCCCCAAAAAAAAGTTGCGGCTTTTCTTTTTCCACTGCATTATCCATGGCGGCAACCTGTTTCTTCGACACTCTCAAGACTCAACCTTTATGGGTTCTTTCACTTTTCACTTTGGGTTCTTTGTCACTCTTGAAATCTTCACTCGTTTTCCTAAAATGGGTCTGGGTCAATTTCCTTCGACCCGGTAAGAATCTCAAGAAATATGGCTCATGGGGCCTTGTAACTGGACCCACTGATGGTATAGGTAAAGGCTTCGCCTTTCAGTTAGCTAAACGAGGGATTAATCTCGTCTTGGTCGGTCGAAATCCTGATAAACTCAAAGACGTCTCCGATTCAATCTTGGCCAAGCACGGGCGGTTGTTGTCGACTTCACTGGCGATCTCGACGAAGGTGTGAAGAAGATAAAAGACGCCATTGAAGGGTTGGACGTTGGGGTTTTGATTAACAATGATGGGATTTCGTATCCTTACGCAAGGTTCTTCCACGAGGTTGATGAGGAGTTGTTGAGGGATTTGATTAAGGTTAATGTTGAGGGTACTACGAAGGTGACACAGGCTGTTTTGCCTGGAATGGTGAAGAGAAAGAGGCGCCATTGTGAATATTGGCTCTGGTGCTGCCATCTTAATCCCCTCTGATCCACTTTATGCTGTTTATGCTGCTACCAAGGCGTGAGTCATTGCCCTTTTTGCAAAGTTAATCCCTGTTTGAATTTTTGTTTATATTATCTATATGTATATGTATTAATATATTGGGATTGTTCCAGGTAAATTGATCAATTCTCAAGGTGCCTCTATGTTGAATACAAGAATAATGGAATTGATGTCCAGTGTCGGGTAATGTTTGCTATAACTTTACTGCTTGATTGGCGTGGCTATTATATTTTTTCCTAGTTGATATCATATATTAAAATTTCGATACATATCCGGATATAGATTAGGTGATATGGCCTTGTTAATAGGAAAAAGTTTGACAAGTCGGCCGACGCTTCTCTCCTAGTTTTGGCAGATAAATTGGTTGGTGAGAGGGAAGTCGTCGACAAACGGTTTCCCTCTCACTAGCCGTGGTTCTCTTTATAAGTTCAACACACTGTCTTTATAAGAAACCATTGGCCAACGACTTCCCTCTCGCAGGTCGCTGTTCTCTACCCAATCTAGGAGGGGTGAAGAAGAAGAAAAAGCCTCTTCTTCTTCATAAGTTCCTAAACATTCTCTCTCTACAAGAAGACCATTGACCAACGACTTTCCTTTCACAGGCGGTGGCTCTTCACTTAAATTAAAAGGGGTAAACTGTCAACGACCGACGAGTCAAATTTGTTCCCATCACAACTCTAAGTAGATCTTACAAATACATGAAAGAAAGTTGAAAAATATGAATCTACTTATCTCCATCTAACACTGAAACTCAGTCCAAATAACATAATTGTATATGGTAAGAGGGATATGATGAGGATGAAGGACGATGCAAAAAGTGTGGTTTTCACTAAAAAGTGAGAGCTGTTAAGATTCTTTGCATTGACTACCATTTGTTTTGTTGACGTACTCTGATCAGGCCAGGGGTCTCTTGATGCAGGTTCCGTTATACGTTGCAACTAAAATGGCATCAATCAGACGGTCATCGTTCTTTGTTCCATCGACAGATGGTTATGCTACAGCAGCGATGCGCTGGATAGGCTACGAACCTCGTTGCACACCGTACTGGCCCCATTCCATCCTATGGGGCTTGGCTTATTCGCTGCCGGAGTATGTGGTTGATGCATGGCATCTTCGGTTTTGTATTGGCATTCGAAGGAGGGGCCAACTCAAAGATTCTAGGAAGAACGAATAGAAGAAAAAAGAAACCGTGTTATGGCTGTCCTGTTCTACGTTCATGGAGTCGAAACTTGTAACTCAGCTATAGTGCGCTTTGTACTAGAGTTTTACTTAATTTTCCATAATTACTTTTTAAATTTAATTATTGTTTTTAAGCATGGTATTGTCACCATTCCATTGTGTATTGTGGAAGGCTTTGAAATGAAGAGTATGAAGATTAGAGAATTGAAGCTTTTTCTTGCATTTAGAGATGATAAAACTTTGGCCAAGTTTATGAGAAGTGGATATGGTATAAGCCACTCTAAATCTTAGAATCTCTTCAATCTCGTGTCGGGTTTAGGAAAGGTGAATCAACATATAATGATTTTTACATATGCATCAATTGGTTAAATGTCAGTGGCATTTACAGTATTAAAATTATTATTATATCAAACCATATCATCATTTTGTTGTGGATGGACAATGTTTGTTTTATAATGATGCATTAGAGACTAGGAAGTATCTGTCTTCTAATGTCTCTTCTCACAAAAAAAAAAAAACATTTGGGAGGCATCTTAAGCTTGTGTAATTTGTTTCGGAGAGCTTTGAGTTGGAATGAGGGGTCGAAGTGAGGTATATAAAATTTTGTTTTCTTTTTTTCTTAAGATTGTTTAAAATAAGTTTATTTATTGTATTTAGAAAGGCAAAAATAATAGACATTTTAATAATAGTCTTGTTAGGAATCATAACGAGATTCTGAATATTATTAGGATCAATATAATAGCAAGGAAATGGATATAATTTTTTTTTGTACCCTTGACATTTTTAGTGCTCGAATTCGAGACCTTAAAAAATAACAACAATTTCTTTACTACCGAAATCATTGAGTTTCGTGCTAAAATCGATATAGTTAATGCTATAAATAATTAACTTTATGTTAGGTGGGGTATTTCTCTGGAGGGGTTGCCTTTTTTTTATTACCTTGTTGATTGTTGCTTGTAGTAGATTTTTGTTTCTTTGGATAATATTATCAAAATTTATCCAAAAATATATATATGTATATATAAATTATAATTTGTTGACTAAAATAGGAGAGATGTAATTGCTTGGTGACCATGGTGCAGTTTACCCAAACGAACACTTATTTTCATTTTGTTATTTTTCCAAAGCTTTTATATATAGAGAGAAGTCGGCATCCATCGCCTACTTCCTCGGATTATTTTTTCAGGTAGAAATATATATTTTCCGCTGCCATATCTACGTAACTCCACATCATATCTTCCAATTCAATCTCTGAAGACCAACCTTTGACATCAACCTTTGCAGTTATTAATCTAGGGTTTCCTATTTTTTTAATAAAAAAATATGGCCTTTTCTCTCTCGTCAAGACCTGACATGTTTCTCGTTCCATCTCCATCTCCATCTCCATCTCCTTTCCTTGACCGAACCGGACCCCCGACTCCTCTTTTAAATCGAACTCAACTTCCCGGTTTGTCCGCTCGCAGACAGTTCCTTCGTGGTTCTCTACCCGTTGCCAAGTTCGGGTTCAAACCCGGACTGTTTCCCGACCCGGATGCTCCCGAAGGTGTTATTAGTGAGCTGCTTATTAGAGCTGAAAGCCTTCTCTATACGATTGCCGACGCTGCCGTTTCGTCTTCCGACACTATTACTACAACCACTGCTGCTGCTACTAAACAAAATAATGACTGGCTCTCGGGAATTACCAATTCTATGGAAACTGTTTTGAAGGTATTTTTTTTAAAGGGTTATTTTCTTTCTTTTTTGAAACTCTGGGTGTTGAATTAATGTCGAGTTGGATTATTTTCAATCAGGTTTTGAAAGATGGGTTGTCGACTTTGCATGTTCCCCACGCTTACGGTTTTGCCATTATACTTCTGACTGTGCTTGTTAAGGCGGCTACATTTCCTTTGACTAGGAAACAGGTTTGTTGTTTCAGATAAACAGAACCAAACAATAAAAAATTTAGTTTATTTCATAGAAAAAAATGTCTGGAATTCTGTCAATTTATGCTCTGTTTCTGTTTTTGCTTACAGGTAGAGTCTGCAATGGCTATGCGTTCATTACAGCCTCAAATAAAGGCAATTCAGCAACGGTATGCTGGAGATCAGGTGAAATTTCGCATTTTGTATTAGCAGGGATGTGCCCTCTAATATTTTGGTTAATATGACTAAGGGAACTGAGGAGTAGTTCTGGTTGTTAGTTATGATGAAATCAGATAAATGCCCAGTGTTGCTCGTTGCTTTAGCTTTAAAAGAAGAAAGAATGAGATGATTTGAATTGACTGGTTACAGCTTTGGGTTGTTTGATTTAGATTTTGTTTGTGGTATGTCGAAGCCATTTTAATCTTTGAGCTACTTTTCGTTTATACTTGCAGGAGAGAATTCAGCTTGAGACTGCTCGGTTGTATAAACTAGCTGGGATAAACCCATTAGCAGGTACTTATAATTCTTATTTCGTATCACATGTATTAATACCAGTAACTTATTACATTCCACATGACATAATCCAACCTTTGTTTTGTATTTCTAAAGATTTTGAATTCTGCTACATTCTTTTAGCTATTTCCAGCCTTTTTGTCAGTAGTATTATCTACTTCAATTACGTTCTATCTGTAGGGCTTTAACTGAGTTTTGGACTTGTATGTGTGTCAGAAATTCAAATCTTAAAATAGGGGACGTAATAATAGTAAATAGAATGTTATTGTCTTCTATGTTCATGCCCTTTATTCCTTTGCTGATGATGCATATCAAAAACAGTCTGTGTCATGTGAAACATATAGATACAGCATCAGAATTTTGATGGAATCTGTTTACTTTGTAAAAATTTATGTTTGTTATCTTTCTGTGTTATCTCAACTTTTATATTTTGTAATTTTTGGGTGACTGATCTACGTTTAATTTACATTTTTCTCCTCCCCCAGGATGCCTGCCTACTCTTGCTACAATTCCAGTTTGGATTGGGCTATATAGAGCCCTGTCAAATGTTGCAGATGAGGTAACATGCTATTCTTGTTGGTTTTCTAGTTTTAACTCATGTTTCCTTTTTCTATCTCTCATGTCCAACCTTATGCTTGCATTTAAGGGACTCCTCACTGAAGGCTTCTTTTGGATACCATCGCTGGCTGGTCCGACTACAATTGCTGCTCGACAGAATGGAAGTGGTATATCTTGGCTTTTCCCATTTGTCGTAAGTACCTGATATTAATATTCTTCTTTTTAAAACTGTGCTAAATTGAATGGTTTTGACATCTCTTGCCTGATTATGAAATTCATCTGAAAGCACTGTTGTTGATTCTGATTCTTGGTCGTATGTTGTTTTCTTAGGATGGACACCCACCTCTTGGATGGACGGATACATTTGCGTATCTTGTGTTGCCTGTGTTGCTTGTCATCTCACAGTACGTCTCTGTCCAAATCATGCAATCGGCACAGGTCAGTCATGTCATCATTTGCATGGTTCTATGTTGGTGCTTTTAGCAATGACAACTTACTACTAAATCCCCATTTAAGACCATTTTCATTGTTAAAATATATGTTATTAATATCGTGCAAGTTATTTTTAATGTCCTGTTTCTATACTGGTTACCTCAAAAAGATGTATAAACTACTTAAATTGAGACTAGAATTGATTTACTAGCTTTTTTCTTTTCGGAACTTTTCTTAGAGCAATGATCCAAACATGAAGAACTCTCAAGCGCTGACGAAGTTCCTTCCTCTAATGATTGGCTATTTTGCTCTTTCAGTTCCTTCTGGTCTAAGTCTATATTGGTGAGCAGATACAAAGCCCTTTCTTTGAAGTATAATAAGATACACTGCTTGTGTCGTATGCTTTTTGTTTCCTTCCCTATCAATGCCTCGTGTATGTTTGTTAACATTAATTATGTATTTGCAGGTTGACAAATAACATATTAAGCACAGCACAACAAGTGTGGCTTCAAAAGTTGGGGGGAGCAAAGAATCCGGCAAAGCAACTTAATGATGATGTAATCAAGGAAGAGCAAGCCCGGCTTCAGAAGTCTCTCTCTGAATTGAATGTCACCAGAAAGGAGGCCAAACAAGAAGAGAAGTTGACACCGGAGGGGCCACGCCCTGGGGAACGGTACTTTCAAATTTGTTTAACTCTGGAAATTTCTTCTTGTACTCGCAGTTGCTCATAGGTCTGATCTCCAGATTTAAGCAGCTAAAGGAGCAAGAGGCGAGAAGAAAAAAGCAAAGAGAAGAAGGGAGGAGCAAAGCTCAAGAGGCAGCAGCTAAAGTTGATCAGTTAACAAAAGAGGGACATGAGATAGAGGGTAGCATCATTGATAAGGAAAATGGTTCCAGAATTGGCTTAGGCACTAAAACGAATGAAAATTATCAATCTGTAACCAGCCAAGGTTCTTCCAATGTAGTTGTGAATGGAGACCTCTCTAGGCCGAACATGAAGAAAGATCAGAAGGCGGCTTCTTCATTTAGCAAGAACAGCGAGTGTTTGGAACATGTAGAGAAGGTGGAACAGTGAATTTTTGTGGTTAATCATTATTCATTTTCATTGAGTTATTCTCTCTCTCTCTCTCTCTCTCTCTCTTTTTCTAACTACTTTAAAATCTACTGTATTTAGGAAGAAGTTGAAGCATACACTAGTTCAGCCACTTCAGACGGAAAATATTCTGAAGACGATGGGCAGGAAGACACTAGGGAGTGACAATAGAAAGTAGAGAAAAATGGTAATAATGAAGTCGGTATCCCAAGTCAGCCAAGTGTGAGATCTCCATTTGATTTTCCTGTTAAAGTGGATACAAGGAGTCAGCAGCAGCAGATCGAAACTCGCTGCCAGCTTCCATCGGTGCAGCTCATCAACCCCAGCTACTACATTAGAAATTGAGTGGATGGAAGGCATATGTTGCCCTTGGCTGATAATGATATCGTAGGAATAACATTTGCAGATACAAAACTCAACAAGCAAAAAATACAATATGCAAGGTTTCACAAAATATAAGGGCTGTTGTAAACTTTGTTTTAAAAAGCGTGCCTAAAGCGTAGGAAACAAAAGGCCTCCAACGGCACAGGAGAAGCGAGGAACAAAAAGTCAGTTAGACGTGTTTTTGTAGCTTATTGAAGAGGCGTTAGACACACTGCTTTAAACGCCTTAGAGATAAATGCTTTCACAGTTATTTTGTTTAGTGGTGCGAACAAGTTGTTTAACGTGATAGCCATTTATAATTGTGGAGGCAAAGGCAGGTTCATGGCCTTTACCACCTGTACATAGCCAGATTAGACCAAGAGCTTCCCTAAAAGCTTAGAAGCAAAGATCAGCGCGTTTAGTTTGTTAAATGATTAGATTCTAAACACTAATAGATTTATTAACTATCAGGTAACACTTGTGGATCAGCGAAATGTACAAAAATAACAATCATGAGAGTTAAAATGAATGTTGGGATGTTACTGCACCTTACTTGCAAAAGGGTGCTCTCTGAACCTTGCGTTTAGGCTCCAGGACCCATTGAGTCTCATTGCGCGTTTTAAAACAAAGGTTGCAAACTTGGGAGAGCTCGAACATTAGATTGTTGGTTCAATCAGAGGATGATTCCCGTACAAGTTCAGAAGTATGAGTAAATGCTGTCTCATTTATGTTATTTTATGCACCCTCATGCTTTAACTAGTGTTTCTAAAAGTTTCTTTTAAATTTGGATTTTTTTGTCAGATCACTGGACTAATATTTCTTGTTCATAAATAATAAAGATAATTTATCTTACTGTTTTATAATAAAACGATATATATTCAGACTTGTAATCACTTTTCGTTGGTTACTCCTTTAATCAATTAACTATAGTGAAAATGATACGCTCTCATCTCTCTAAGATAAGATTTATATAGTTGCGTAATCCGGTGACAATGGCAGTATTAATTTTCAAAATATAAAAAATACAATGACATACCAAAAACGGCAAATTTAATAGAATAACGTGGTGGGAAAAAATGATTGGTATAGAGTGCTGGAAAAATTATCTTTTCAACTAGGGTGAAATGAACAATGAATTAGAGAAGACACTCGAATCACTTACCGCCGTTGAGATGACAATTGATCCCATGAGAAAACCTAGAGAAACTCATGGACAAAGCAAGAAATTCTTTACATGTACTGATGACCCATTTCCCTGCTTCAATTCAACATATCAACACTGACCTAACATACATAAACATGAATCCTGTTTATTTTTATTACAAATTTCATCTTATTTTTATAATTAATTCCATTATTATCTGACCATTACTCCCCCAATGCCTAGCAAGGCGACCCCTTCTTGCAAACGAGTACACCGGCAGCTCCCGTGAGCTCGCTGACCAGTGACGATGGCCTGGCGCTCAGGCTGGATGCCTTGGCGTAACTAGAAGAGGTCCCTTTGCCCGATGCCCTGAAGAATGCTCCATTCAACATCCAATCCCCCTCCGACCTCCAATTCCATTTCCTCCATTTACTTTCAGACGCATCTTCGCGTTTAGTCACCTCTTTGTTGTTTGAATTATCCGGTGCAAGAAACCTATTCCCCTCACTGTTGATCGTCGGATTACCACTCCCGCCAATTGCATACATTTCCCAGTGCGTGTAATCATTGTTCACAACATGAAAATATCCATGCCTGCATCTATATTGACCCGAGTCGAAAAACGAAAACAATTCAGGCTAATACTCAACTAGCTATATTTAATGTGTGTATATTTGTATGTATGTATTACCTAGGCATTCCTTGGACAAGTCCTTCTCCAAAGTGATTGAAGGCAATGGTGACTTGCATGTTCTTGTCCTGCTCGTAAGAGTCGCTGTGGCCCAAGAGCATGACCTTGTTATGATGGGTCATGTAATTGCTGGAAATGGTGATGGCCGTGGATCCTTGGATGGCATTGACCAGCCCGTTTGTACAATTTGACAACGAGCAATGATCGACCCAAATGTGGCTGCTTCTAGATATCAACACGGCATCACCATCTGATATCGTCCTCCAACCATAATGGCTAGGAGAGTCTCTCACATAAGCATTCCCTCCTCTCTTGCAACCGTGTATGTTAATACCGTGGATTATGATGTTGCTCACGGATTGTATAGTAATGCACGGACCACCGGCGATGCGAATGTTGGCGCCTCGGCCATCGATGGTCTTGTACGAGCTCATTAGCAATTCTTCCTTCAATTTAATAACCATGTCAAGAGCAAAAACAATCCATAAGGGTTCGATTTGGATAGCAGCATGCCTAAGAGTCCCGGGTTTGGGGTTGGCGGGGTCACGGTCACTAGGGTCCGTGACTACGTATATTTTCCCATCCCTGCCACCGATGGCATGCTTACCAAACCCAATGGCGCAGTCAGCTAGCCTGCGACGGTTGTTTTCCCAATGAGGGTCGCATCGCCAGCAGTCATCGATGGGGTTGCCGGTTCCGCAGGAGAGAAATCCCAAGCTCCTCCTAGCCATTGTAGCATTCATGATGCTCCTGTATATATCCAACATAATTCCTAGTTAAAGAGAAACATGTGACACATTGATTGATATACAATATATTTAGAATTCGAATCTTAAGGTTCCTAACATGTTAGACTACAACATCTTTTATATACATACTCATCGACTTGTTGGGCGACTTGGTCGGGATCTCGAACTGGGGACGAGGAAACGAAGATGGGAGCCTGAAGGAGAGGCCATATCAGGAGAAAGAGGGGTAGTGGAATTGGCATTTTTATGGTCCTTTCTCTGCAAAATTAAGAGAGAACGTTGAAGGAGAGGAAAAGTTTGTGAAACTGGGAGGAATGGAGCGGGGGTTTATAAAGTGGTTAAACTCTGGGTGTTCTGAAGAGGGGTAGGTGCCTAGGTGGGTAATGGTGGTCATACGAATATTGAATTCTCGTATATTTTATATATATTTTTTATTTTTATTTATAATATATTTTTATTCTTAAAATTTTATTAATTCGGTCTTCTAAAATATTATAAATTAACACTCTAATATAAAACCATGCGTTTGTCTCTAATTAAATTAAATACTAATAATTTGTTACAATTAGTTTTTCTTATTTATTAGCTTATTGGGATGTTTTAAGTGTAATTTACAACTTACGAGCTACTGCCCCTTTACTAATGATTTGTTTAATTTTGCTATGAAAATACCGTTAAAATATGTTTGGTGATAGAATTGACAAATAAACTTTGCTATTACAAATTCTATGAATGATTCCATTTCCATGTTCAACCAATTCATTTGTGCAATTATTACAAAAATGTATAAAGCAATATTCTTAACATTGCTCGCTAAATTGAGGTTGTCCTTCATGTTTTTTCCAACACGAAAACATCAAAAGGAAACTTTCTTTCTCCATCAAGGTAAACTTTGGTCATTTATGTCGCAATTTTCAATCAGATCTCTTGCAATCATTAAGCACCGAGGGATCGCATCTAATCGTTCACCATTATTATTACAATGAATTATTAAACAAATAATGCATTTGGAGTATATTCTAAAATAAATTTGAAGACTTTTTCACCTATGATACGATAGAGTTTTTTTAATCTACTAAACGACATCAGTAATAAAAGAAATTATTATTATTTTTTAGATTTCGGATTCAAGTAGTTAGATTTGTAAGGTATGTGTGTTATTAATGACTAAGATAAATTTTGAACATATATTATATTATATTATAATCACCACGAGTTCGAACACTATGAATGTTAAGGGTGTGAGTGTTCAATGTTAAATGGTTGAGAGTTATCTTTGAACATATACTACCTTATACTTACACCAGATTGATTAAAAAAGAGTTTGAGATAATAAAGTTTTAGAGTTAGAGAGAGTGGAGCTAAAGAGTTTGAGAGTATATAGATTGAAATGAACATGTCACAACCCCATTTTGAAATAAAAATTATAAATTTATTTAATAAATTTAGGGACCAAATTGCAAATTTTTAAAACTTGTAGTCCATTTTAGGGTTTATGAGAAGTTTAGAGACTTAATCTTGAATTTCTCTTTTTTTCTATCGTCAGAGAAAAAATAATTAATAAAAATGGAGTCGGTACCCTACAAGGTTTGAACACATGCCCCAACATGATCACCCATGTCTTATCCATTTAGGCTAGGTATGTTGGTGATATTTTTAGGTAAATATATATGTTATTGTTTAAGGTTGGGTTAACCCTCTAATTTCCCTCAAAATCCCCAAATTTTCAAATCCCTAACTCCTAACTTCCCCCAGTCGACCTTTACTAATCTACCATCGCCCGGTCACCGTTGAGAGCACTGCCACCTCCTTTTGACTTGCCGTCGATCGGCGACCAAGACCCGAGCACCATTGCACCGAGTAACGTCGTCGGTTGTCATGAATCGATGCTCAAACGTGCGACAAAAAAATACCCCGACGTTCGAATTTTCATCGATTCCCGTCGATCCGGTCGTTTGATCATTATACCGTCGCTTCCATCAGCTTTGCCGATGTCATACGAACAAAACCAGGTCGATTTTTCTCCTCGTCATTACGCCGCCATCGACCGCCGTTGAGGTAAGTTGCCATCGATTGCCATCAACCTGATTGACGCACTCAGACAGAGTTAACTCGTTGACTTTGACTGACAATTGACTTGGCCGTTGACTTTGATCAGAGTTGACTTTGACCGCGATGAATTTGACCAAAAATTTAATTTTCCCCCCGAAAAATTCATATTTTATGTTTTTCGACGTTCTGAGTTCGAATACGAAGTCCGTTTTGTCAAATTCGAACCCGATAAGATTTTTTTCACTGATTAACCTCTCGATTCAATCTGTTTTCGCAATTAAGCTCCGTTTCTGATGTAATTTCTGTTGATATGTATCCGAGATATTATTGGACATTGGATTCAAGTTTGAGAGCGATCGAATAGAGTTTGAATGTTCGACCGGTGTATCTTGAGAATCGAGGTAATACCTTACTACTTTTTTACATGCTTTATGGAACATGTTGGTATTTGTTAATGCATGGATGAATTTATTTGGTCAAATGTATGTAGTTAATCATCTCTAAACTCGATCCTAATATAGTAAAAAGTATGTTATGTAATAAGACTCGGATGACTCAATCAGAAATTAGAAGTTTAGTAATAAATAATTCCAAGTTCAGTGATTAATCAATTTAGCGATTAACCACATAAACCTTAAATTATGATTATTACCGTTAAAAGTTTTA